CTTAATGCATATTCGTCCACCGCTATATTCGAATATTTTACTACTACTTCTTTGATTGAGTGTTTACATCTGATCAATTCTTTCTTTAACGCTGGTAATTTCACACTTTTCAGCACCGCCATATCGTTCTCTTTCTTCTCGTTGATTAGTAACTTAATATTTTTTAATTCTAAAACTGTATTAATACAATTTAAGAAAATATAACACGGATAAGGTTACTTGTCTAAACCTCCTCAAAATCCTACGATTAGTTTCGTCAAAATTTTACTATAGATTTATTATAGTTTCGGCAGAGTTTCAGCAGTTTCGGCATTTATAATAAGTTTCGGCAGTTTCGTCTTTCTCCAAAGTTTCGCCAGTTTTTTAATATAACTTTAATATAGTTTCGGCAGAATTTCGCTTTTCGGCGAAACGCCATCTTGCCTAAACCCCTAGGTTTCGGCAAGCAACCTTAAACACGGATCATCTAGTTCTCTTCTATTACTACCTATATTACTATATTCGATGAGCCATGTTAATATTTTATCGTCGGTCCTTAGATCCACTATCGTGTTGTCTGGTATAACCATCAAAGCTGTTATAATTCCAATGGCATAAATTTTCCTTCATTTCTTGTATTACGAACTTTTCCTTCTATACTAAACTTTTCTTCCTTACTATTTTTTGCAAATATCTCTATCCCAAAAAATCCGTCTAAATTTAAATCTGGACCTTTTTGTATTATACCTCCTAACTGAAGAAAAATTTCTTTATCTGTAAAATCAAAAAAATCATTATCTATAAAATTGTTTAAATTTTCATAAATTCCCATTTTTTCTATGACACTGTTTAACCATAACTTAGCATTTGTTCGTAAATCATTTTTATCTTTGTCAATAACCATATCGTTGATTATTATCTCCTCTTTGTTAGTGTTTGCAATTCTATGTACGCTCACATTTCTTTTATCAATATTTTCGAGCGTCATGTATGGTTTAATATATTTAATGTCTTCGTTATCTTTTTCCCATCTTCCTGGTATCGTCATAGCTATATCTTTTTCTATATAAATGTAACATTCAGAACTCCGATCTTTTTTCTTTCTGATATTATAATCACATCCTTTATAATTAATCAAAAATGGAGAATTGATTACATCGTTGTTCTCTTGTAATTTGTCATATTCTAACATATGTTTACCTATTTCGTCATAATAACGATAACGTGATTTCTTGGACCTTATGCTGCAAATATTATCATTTGAATTAATATCTCTCCATGTAATCACTTCTTTATTAGTTTCTTTTCTACTTTTTTCTGAAAGATTTTCATTACTTCTCGTTTTCTTGGTATCTTCTTTTCCCATTCTTTTGATTAACATTTCGTTATATAATTCTCTTTCTAATATACCATTTATCGTTATACGATCTCTTACAATTTTAAACCATTTTGGTTCTATTCTCAACGCTAAGCCATTTTCTTTCAAAAAATGTGTCCATTTCATCATTTTGTCTGTATATGGTTCTATTAGTTGTTCTACGAACATAACACCACATTTTTTAATTCTATTTTTATAAAATTTAAATTCTTCATCTAAAACTTCTTCAATCAGAATGTGACCTCCTTTGATTCTGTGGTTTTGAAACAAATCGTCATAATTCTCATGATCACATAAACGAAAATTCTTATAATCCAGTACTATTAATGCGTTCCCGACGAATCTTTTAGTTGTAAATTTGACTTGAGAAACTTTTTCTGCAAAACATAATGGTGTCCATATTTCTTGTTGCATCTGCTCCATTTGTATTTTAAATATTGATCTAACTATTTCATTACCGTTTGCCATATACATTATATTTTTACTTAGACTTTCGAGCTGTAAACTAAATAGATCTTTAACTCCATATATATCTTTATCGTATATTATGCAATTAGGCAGAGTACTTGGCATCTTACATTTATGTTTAATCAACGTATTTACTGGCGCCATTAATTGTTTAGCTTCGCTCTCTGTAATTACTACTCCCTGTAATTGGTATTCTAACGCCGGTATCATATTAATATTCCACAGTTTACATACTTGTTTATCTGTTATTATTTTCCTATTCATTATTTTGACAAAGCCTTCTATCATATCTTTCATTTTTTTAATATGAACTGCTCTGTTATTATTGTACGTAAAGAAAATTCCTAAAAATCTGTTACCATTTTTTGAATTAATTTTTTCTATTTTTTGCCCCTCTATTATCATCTCTCTTTTCTCCGCACTGTTTATTCTAATTATTTCATATTTTTTTGGATTTGCTTTTATATCATTTAATTTATAAAAACTATGACATATCTCTAACATATCCATCATTTGGTCATGTAATCTACTTATTAGTGTCGTGTCATCCATAAACGCAATCGCGTTAATTGAAATACTATGATTTGTCACCTCCTCTTTTGTTATGTTTTCTTTGAACTCCGACTTAATTTCATAGCCTACTTGTTTTCTCATGTCATCTAATTTACATAACAATGGGTCGTAAAAAATTCTCCATAGTATTGGAGACCACACCTCTCCCTGATCGATTCTGTCTTCAACTTTATATTTCTCGGTTAAATTATTATTAACTATTACTCTATTGAATTTATTGTGAGATATGTCTAAAACCAAATTTATCCATTATTCTGGTAACTTTATGCGCTCCATTCCTTTCTTCAAACTCTTTGAGCTTACGGAATCATATGCTTTACTTATGTCCATTAGCACTATCCACGCTTCTTTTTTGTTAATATTAGCATTCTCGATTATTGCTTGTAAAATTTTAATTGGCTCAAATGTACTTTCATATTTTAATGCCACAAAATTTTTTCCTCTTAAAATATTATATTTTGTTATGATATCGTTCAAACGATTTGTAAGTATTTTAATCACGATTTTTCTTGCTGTTTCGATTAACATTATTGGACGCGTTAATTTTAAATCTCTATTCCACTCCATTGTTTTTTTGATTGGATATATTATTCCATCTTTCCATTCCTTTGGCCATGTTCCTTCTTTTATTACGAGGTTTATTATTTCTATTAATGCTTTCTTCGTGTAATATCCGCTTTTCTTCCAGAAATCGTAAGGAATACCGCTTGCACCAGCTGCTTTGTCATATTTGACGTTTTTTAATGTTAAATCACATTCTATAAGTGTCACCTCATCACATAAATGATCATATATATGTTCATCAACAGTTTCTAGTTTGTTGTAATACGGTTCCCAGTTTTTACCAAACTCTTCTTCATCAAATTTTCTTGTGCACGTCCAATTTTTATAATGTTCTACTACTTCGTCCTTTATTTCTTCATGATTTGTAATTATTCTAACCCTGTCTTCACTTGTTTTCTGGCAACTATCTATTTTGATTTGTCCTCTTCTTTTATCCATGATTCTAATAATCATTTCTTTTAAATCTGTTGTCATTAGTTGTTCCTGTCTTTCTAATTTTTCTCTATTGCCAGACTATTTTCATATTGTTGTACGTTTACCATATCACACAACAATCTATTTTTTTCCTTTTCTATCTTGACTTTAGATATATTTATCGATGTACTGTCTTCTAGGTTATCGTGCAAAGTATTGTATTATTTTTCGTCTCTGTTGTCATCTTCATATTACAGATATCGTTAAATCTATTTACTAGTATCTTATAGTTAGTAATTACTTTCCTTTCTCTTGCACCAAAATTTTCCATTACATCCAAATTCTATCTTGTTTCTATGTTGAATTCATTTTTTTCCATTACCAGTTTGCTCCATTTTTTCCAGCATTGTTCTATTTCTTTAATAATTTTTAATTTGATCTTGACTCTATCGCAATCGGACATTTCTTTGATGTTCAAGTTGTATTCTTTCTTCGTATTCGTTGTGGTATTGTTCTTTACTCTTAATTCTTGTTTCATTTCAGTTATTTCTTTTGTTATTACATTTTTTAGCTTGATCCATTTTTTGTCTGTTTCACTTATTATTTCTTCATTATTTTCTTCATTTTCGTCCATATCCATTTGTCTTTCTATAATACTATTTTCTACTCTTTCCGCAATTTCTTCCCATTCTTTACCTGAAAACTTGTTTCTAAAGTATCCTGTGTCTTTTCCCTTATTATTATTTGATATTGTTGTCTCGTTATCTATTTTAATAGTTACCGTTAATGCTTTGTGGTCTATCAATAATTTGTTTTCTACATTTAATACTTCGTGTTCTTCAATTCTCTGAAGCATTTCGCTATTCACAAAAATGTAATCTATTCTTGTACTTATTGTTCCGTTTGTCCATGTGTCAATCGGATCATCGTTGTTGAAAAAACAGTGGATGTCTACCATATTATAACTGTCTAACATTTCTAAAAATATATTTTTATCTTTTTTCCCTTTGTTTTGTCTTTGTTCGTTGAAATCTCCCATTACTATTACATCTAAATTTTCATTTTTCCCATTATCTATCCATCTATCTACTATTGATATAATTTCCTTTTTTTGTTTTTGTTGTTACCGACCATGTAGATATTTATAATTCTTATCGACTTTTTATTTCCTTTAAGTAAAATATCTATTGATTGTGCGTATCCTTCTATTTCTTGATAATTAATCGTTCGTACTTCTGTCCAATATTTTTGTATTAAAATTTGACTTCCTTTGCTTTTTTCTTCTTCAGCGCTGTTGTTCCTAATCATCATATTTTCCCATTCTCTATATATGTATTTTCCTTTCGATTTTTTAATTTTTGTTTCGTTAATTCCCGCTACATCCCAATTTTCTTTTTTGATAAAATTTTTTAATCTCTCTTGTTTGTTATCTGTTCCTTTATCATCATTTAGTCCCCTTATATTTATACATCCTATTTTTATTTTATTATTGATTTTGTTATTGTTTATATTTTTATCTGTTTTTTTGTTTTTTATGATTTTATTTTTTTCTATATAATTTTTTAGCGTATCGTTATCGTCCAAAGTCTCCTCCTCATACATACTCCTCAAATGTGAAGTTGATTCAATATCTATGTCCATAATGGACCCCGTTTCCTCCTCTTCTATCATTATCGTAGTTTGTTTGTCTATGTTTGTATCTGCCGATGTATTGTCCAGAGTCCTTCTCTCCTCCGTATTTTCCTTCACTTCTGTTTTGATGTTCTTCTCTTCTTTTGTTAGATTCTTGTTGTTGTGTGTATCTATTATATCCTTGTTGAGTGTTGTAATTTCTATAGTTGCCGAATCCTCTCCCGTTTGGTCTTCTGTCATAGTTTCTTCCACTAACTCTAAATTCTTGTCGTTTATCATTGTGTCTATTGTGTCTTGGGTATGATATAAATCTTGGATCGTAATCTTGTTCATAAAAGTTATTATTTCTGTTATGTCTATGTTCATTGGGTCGTCCTGTCTGTTGTCGGTATTGTGGGTTATATACGTTGTTGTATTGTCTTCGTCCTCTTTGTTCCCCTTCAAATCTATAATCACTTGCGTCTTGTCTACCATTATTTCTTCCGTGTTGATAATTTGATTTCCTTCCATTGTACCTTCTGTTGAAGTTTTGTTGGCTGGTCCAAAAGGGCTGCCCGATGTAGCCTTTATTCCATGTGAAGCACTTGTTATTTACTAAAAAATGTATTTTCATAGCGTTGTCTCTTTCCTGTCCATTTTTGAAGTATACTGTAATTGTTTTTCTTCCTTTTTGTTTGTCTTCATTGATATACCACTCTTTAGCCTTTACGTTGTTTAGATTTTCATGAATGTCTTTATAGTCTATTCCCATGTCTACGTCTATAAGTTTGGCCATGTATTTCTTCCTTTCCTGTTTCTGTTCTGCCATTAAATTTTGGGGTATTATCGTGATTCTATTGCCATTTTTATCAATTGGTATAGACCATGTATCTCTTAATTGTGCATCGTTGCATTTTAAATCTATTAATACACTTTTGTGTCGTTTGCTTCTATCTTTTGATGTTTTGGTATTGTTAAAAACTCTGTTGGTACTACCCAATCCATAGTTATCTAATGCAGCGCTTATGTCACTGTTGCTGATTTTGATCGGTATATTTTGAATATCGCATTTTAACGGGTCATTGATCGTCACTTCCTTTTCTTGATCCGGGTAGAATCTGCCCACGTTGTTACTAATCGTTTCGCTATTGGTCAACCTTGTTCTTTCTTCTTTTGTTGCAAACATTACGTATATGTATGTATTACCGTTCTTATTTGAGATGTCAGTCCTAAATCTTTCTTTGTTAAAAATTTTTTCAAGTTCATTTTCTATTTCCTCTTTTGATAATTTTTGTGTGTTAATGTTGATCTTTGCGTAATATCTTGTTCTAACGTTTGTAAAATTTTTTTCGTGCATTGATATGTTGTTTCCATTGGCTGTTAATGTAACTCCTTCCATATCATTTTTATCTATCTGTTTTTCGTTCACGTGACATCTCTTTTTTCCTTCGCTCTTAGAGCCTTCGCCTTTGGAGGTGTTATCGTTATCGTCTTCTATCGTTATAAGTTGTCCTGTAGGTACCTTCGTTGTAGTATTATATTCTGGTCTGTCGTTTGTTCCTACTTCTATATTGGCCATGTGTTGGTTTATTGGCATAGCTTTAAAATATTCTTCCATTTCTTTATCTTGTTTTCGGAGTTTATCTTTAGTTATATGTAACTCATGTTGTAAGGCATTTCCTTGTGAATAAAGTTGTTGCAATTCATGGTCAAAATGTTGTCTTTCATTTTCAGTAACTTTTTTATAAAATGCCTCCATTGCATCTTTTTGTTTCGTTAGGCAGACTGTGACCACAGCTCTTATTAACGCCGCTGTTATAACGTCAGTTCCCATAAATATTGCTATATCATGGTCTTGTGCTTCTAGTTCCCAACCTGCGTTTTTTAGAATCTCTGTGCGTTCTTTTTCACTTTTGTATACGTATCCTTCTAGCGTTGCGAAGTCTAAAGTTGAGACTGATACTCCCATTATTATAATTTGCTGCGGATTTCTATTGATCAATGAAAGTCTTCGATTCGATGTACTATCTTGCGTAAAAAGCTAATGCCTCTCTCACAGTAATAATTAGGAAATTCTAAATTAATTGCAAAAACCGGCGCTTTAATTACGATCATGTTAATACTAATAATTGTAAGAACGATTAAATTATACAATATTATATTATACTATTAGGAATAATTTTCCTTCATATTAAGTAACTTAGTAAATTGAAGTTTATTGCTAAGTTCTCTGAGTGTATATTCAAATCCGGTCGCATACCTTCAGTACAGTCATGTGCATTTTATGATCTCTCATTCCGGCTAAATTTCAAGAATCATGAGTCATCAACTTAATCGTAGATTGGATTTAATAACATAGGCACCCTTTTACATTTTTTTTTTTATTCGCATTATTTTTGTCTTTATTGTATTTTTTTCGCGTTATTTTCTTTTTTTTCACGCCATTTTTTCTTATTTTTTTTTACATTGCACTTCTACCTTTTTCTTTACAAATATGACTCGCTCTACACGTTAGTTATATTCCTTTACCTTATTAAAAGTGCCATGAAATATTAAATAATAATAAATTTATTTTTTTCAGATTCTTATTATTATCTTCGAAAAAAACCTTTACAATAAAATGATTACATAGTTTCTTGTTTAGTTCATTTATAGCAAAATAATTTTGTTAAACTATTTATTGTAAAGTTATAAAATTCTTAAAATTATTATTACGAAATTTAAAGTTAAAAAATTTTTAAAAAAATTCAGACAGTTCGTTATATTCAAACTCAATAAGTAATTAGAGTCAGGTGAGATCGGAGTCCGGTGACTGTCTACATAAAATGCACATGACTGTACTCAAGTATGCGACCGGGCACCTAGTGCACTGAATAAGATATTACCGGTTCTTTGAATAAACGTTCATACATTGTATATCTTTCGTTTTGCATCCTAAAGAAAAGTTTGTTTTTATCATTGTTTTGTTTATACTGCATAGCAAATTATGAATTACTTTGCAGAAACTTTTAAAATCGAAATCACATCGTGACCAAGTTGAAATTTTATCACAGACCTTATAACCAAGACTTGGTCATGATATGGTTTAAAACGGCCACGATAAGTTTAAGATAATCGTATGTATAAAGTTACTGCGTATTAAGGAAATCGACACCTGATTTATTCGGGTCGTACAAAAATAGTATTTGAAATCGCAAAAAATAAATATATGACAAATATTAAAGAGTTATAATTTATTTATTTAAAATATGTTGTAAAGTGTTGTATAAAATTTATTAAATTGTTCTATTCTAAAATCGAATAATACTCAAAATCCATTCTTTACTGAAATGTATCAAATTGTGTCCAAATAGTAAACAAATCGTGGCCAAATCACTGGCCAAATCGTGCAAGTAGACGATTATTACTGAAAATTCACGGCTACATGCAGTTACTGCGCATTAAGACGATCGCAGATCAATTTTTCGATTAATCCAACAAATCGTTACGAATTTATTATCAAAGTCGTTACGATTTTTTTTAAACTTCTTAACCATTTGATAAAATTTAATAAATGTATTGTATAAATAATTAATAAAATTTAATCAATATATTGTAAATATCTTGTAAATACATAATTAAACTACATTGTTAAATTTTAGTAAATACATAATTAATATTTGTATTGAAACAATTCTATATATTGATATAATAAAGAAATACTTGTTCCTCATATAAAAAATAATTTCCAAATTCGGGACTATTACTGGTGTACCATTCATATCAACTTCACTTTATAAGATATATCTTAAAGATTCAATTCAGCATCCTCGCCCATTAAAATAAAATTTGAAGGTGAAACTACAAAAAAAAATATAAGAAACAGTTAATAATTGTTTCTTTAACTAAGAGATCAAGTTTCAAAGTTCAAATAATATCAAGACTTACACAGCTTATCTATTATGAAACGAAGCTGAGCCCTAAAAAATGGTTAGAACAGTAAGTAAACCATTTTTCAATTTGATAAAAAGTCAAAGTTTCAAAATAATTCTGAAATTTACCATATGTCTTTAAATTCCAAATGTCAAACTACAAAAGAAAAAAGTAACATTAGCCTTAACCCTACAAAAGGAGGATAAAAAAGAAACCTTAATGAATGTTACTTTAAAAATTTAACTTTTGAAGTCCAACTTCGAAACTTACTCAATGTTCCATTCAGATACAAATATGTAGAATATGAAAACATGATAAAAAATTTTCAAATGTTTCAAAAACTCAAAAATCGGAACTGGCTGTCTAAGAAAAAGAAAGAACAGTTAATAACAGTTTGTTATTAAAAGTAAATGAATTAAAGAAAAGAAAACAAAGAACAAAAAACTCACCAAAATTCGCGTCCTAAAAGTTAAAGAGGCAGCCTCTAAAAAAGGAAAATGAAATGTTTGTGACATTTCATTGAAAAAAACAATATTAATGAATCCACTTACCGAAATCCAAATCCACGACCAAAACTGTACGAGACCTACAAAAGAAAAGAAACTAAGATAATGTTAGTAAATATTTCTTTTAGTTAAAGCATAATAAAAAATTAAAAATGAAATACTTATTTTCAATTCAGCATTTAGAGACCCCGAAGAACCAGTCAACCAAATTAAATAAAAGAACAAAATGTAAGTAAAGATGTCTCATTTTTTAAAAGTAGAAAAAACGATAAAAAGTATTTAACCATTTACCATAATATCCAAAGAGACTGGAATGCCGTAATAGCAGTTACAAGAGATAAACGTTCAACATTATATAAATCATTTTTTTTTTTAAAAAAAAAAGAAATTATTTTAACGTTAAAGAAAATTTGTGAAAAATTAAAAATGCAAATATGGAAATAAAAAAGGCTTTTCTGAATTTAGAATAGAAGTGAAACTGAAATATTACTAAATGATTCGTTAAGGAAATTGTAGAGAGAGGGAAGGATTAAGGGAGCGAAAAGGAAAAGGGGAAAGGACGAAGGAAAAAAAGAAAGAAAAAGGTTGAAAATGGTTGAAAAAGTTTAAAAAAGTTACTAGTGAAATTTACACTTAAGAAGTCAATTATTAAACACATTCGTAAAAAATTAAATACTGTAACCGCTGAACCATCTTTAAAAATTTGCCAATACATTGTCAATTTTCTGCAAAAATACTCCAAATTAATTTTTTTCTTACTATATTTGTTATTTTTAAAATAAATATTATAATTTTATAAGATTTTGAAACTAATTAGTTATGAAACAATAACGATGTTCTTACAATTTGAGACTATTTCGCTAATATAACTTAGCAGTTACGTAATCAAGGCCTAATTCATGACGATCACTTAACAATTAAGCGATAAAACATTAGATTTCTGCAAAGTTATTATTCTAATCTGTAAATAAAATTAAATTGATAATAAATGTAAAATTTTCCAATAATATAGCTTATCCTACAAATGTAAAATACAATACTATATAAATAATAAAAAAGATTCAAAATTGTTCGAAACTTACTGGGATTCCAGGACCCCGAAATATATATGTAGGGGTAAGGTGCATAATTGCGTCGCCAACATAGAGAAATTTTACGGGGTTAGGTATTGATTTGCGTACAACCTGAGGATTTTTTAGCCACGGTCAGACTATTAAAATGCGTATTTTTAACAGTTTTTTTGTTTGAGTAAGGGTTTATTTTGCGTATTTTTAGTAATTTGGCTGATCATAGTATTTCATGAGATAAATAAAAATAAATATAAATATCTATTAGTGCAAAAAATAATAATTAGCACTTTATTTAGTGCAAAAAAATGTGTAATGTTTGTACAGTACATTTAATAAATACATTTATATGATTATGTGACATATAAAGTGATTAAAAAATTATTCATTTTTTATTTTTATTTTTATTATAGACATCGGATCCGGGACTACAAGCAATTGCTAGTAGATCGGAATACAAAGATAGCGAAGCAAAACTAAGCTAATGCGAGTTCGTCCAATCCCCCATGGTTTGAGAGGAACCGTCCAGCCTATTATTCTTTTGAACCCTAGGCACAACCAAAAATTATTCTTCGATAAATGTCAAGTTTGATAATAGGTAAATCACATGATGAATCGGCGGGTCAGGAAATTAATTTGCGTACTTTTTCCAATTATCCAAAGTAAGGAGGTAATTTTGCGTACTGAACTTACAGAAAACCCTTGCGTACAGCTATTAGTAAAAAGTTCGAAAGCCACTTACCTTTTTATATATATTTCGGGGTCCTGGGATTCCGTATCTCTAGATTGGAGCTGTTTTCCTACAAAATAAATAAATAAATAAATAAAAATTATTAAAAGATTTTTTAAAAGAAAGTTCGAAGGTATTTCGTAAACTTATTTCAGGGTTCCAGTAAAAAAGGTGGAGCTGGTATCCTATGTATGAAAGAAAGAAAAATAACTTTTCTCAAAATTCTTGAAACTTACCAGGGTTCTAAAATACATCAAAATTGGAGCTGAGGAAAGAACTTTTTTTTTAGTTTTTAGGATCTGAGGTCCCATATCGAAACCGGAAACCCTATAAAATTAAAAAAAAAAAGAATTAAATTTTTTTTTTTTAAGATGTATTAAAAGTGAATCGAAACTTACCAAGGAAAAATGAAAAATAAGTTTAACAAAACTTCTTCAAGGAGTTTCGTACTGTACTTTCGAAAACCTGCTAATCAAGGGTTCGTTTCAGTATTCCCAAGTCAAGCCGGATTTCCTACAAAATTAAAAGAAAAGAAAAGTTATAAAAAAGTTTTTTAGATAATTTTTGAAATTAGATCCAAAAACGATCTATTCTGTTTTTTCATGTTCGCATTACTCCAAGAGGATACTTTTCTTGATGGATGTAAAATTTGAAACGCATCTATTAAACCTGTTGTTTAGAAGTATGCATTGCCTTGGAATCCAAATCAAAGACGGGATTCTAAATAAATTTTATGAAATTTTTTTGAAAACTTGGTCTGGAAACATCGGAACTGGTTCTCTAAAAAAAGGGCGAAAATGAAACGCTAGTAAACGTTTCATTAAAATACTAAAAAGATATCTGGATCCCTCCACTATGCTTCCAAAACTTCAAGGTAGTATCAGCCATCTAAAAAAGAAAATGAAACATTAGAAATAGTTCATCAAAAGAATATATTAGAAAAAAATTGCCTGATTTCTTACCAAATTCCACGTTCTGAAAAGTAAAGATGAAAGTTTCGTTAAATGATTAAATCCTCCCACATCTGAAGGCTGACGGGAAGACAAAACCTAAAAAAGTGAAATATTGAAATATTAGTACCAATGAGAAAATAACAAAATTAAATAAAAGAAACAAAAATCTACTTACATTTCACAAGAGAACCGCTGAAACCTAAAAAAAAAGAAATATGATTGTTAGTAATGAAGACAAAGGAAAGTAATGAATATGAAAATAAACCAATTAATCATTACGTGCTTTTTAGACAGCCAAATGGGTATTAATTTTTTTTTTTTTTTACAGTAGGGGAGGGACGAATTAGAGGAAAAGGAATAGAGGGAAGAGGAAGAGAGGGAAAGGGAAGAGAAAAAAAAGGAAGTTATGAGAGAGAGCAATGGAAAGGAGAACTGTTACACAATAATTGAAGACAGTAATCGGGAACTGATTGCAGCATCTTTATTTAACGTCACATCCATAGTTAAGAGATCGTTACATATTATGTACAGAAAATTTGCTGGTCTCCGTGAATAAGAGTATTAAAAAGAAATGTACTCGACCTGAATAAACCAGATGAGGATATTGTAAGAGGAAAAAATGATAGAGAGTGAAAGGGGAAGGAGAAAGCTTCGTAAAAAAAAAAAAAATTTAAAAAAAGATTTATAGTTAAAAGGTTAATCTGTTAAAAGTTAATTTAAAGTTAAAAATTTGAAGTTAAAAAAGTTTACAGAATCCTGTGATTTGTTACTACGCAGTTAAGTGATCACATTTGACGTCGTAGTACAGAATGTCTCGTGAAATTATTGATAATAACACCTGTGTTTAAAAATTCACGTATCAGTGTATCACGTGATAAATTATTAATGATTGCCAATTAAGCTTTTTTTAAAGTACCGTAAATTTTAATTTTAATTTGAATACGAAAAAATTGAATATAACGCAATTAAAAATAAATAAATTTAAACAACCATAAATGAATAAAATTCCAACGTAAATTTTCGTCTCAAGTATCGGAAAAAACCGTCTATTCCAGGTTCAATAACTATTTTAATGTATTTGTAGAAGCTCAGAAATATATTTAAATTTGAGTGCTATCCTTCCAAGAACAAACTCCAATAATTCTTAATTGTGAAACGTTTGACGATATATGTGTAATGTTCTCACGTACTATAGTCAAGTTATCTCCCTTAATATAAACTAAGTTCAACACCATGAAATATACTTAGAAGATATAAGTTCTAATTATGTATTTTTAGATTTTGATAAATAATTCTTATCTTATCTGAATGAAAAAATTCCCAATGAGATTATAAAAGGATTGATTGTCATAATCATATGCAAATTAGCGACAACATTATTCTCAGTCCAACTTTTTTTGATACGTCGCTTTGCTATTTATAAATACAACAGGTTAGCAATCGTGATGGAACAAAAGATGTTTCTTATTTTCAAATGAGCTAATTTTCATTAATCATGAGGTTTCTCATGTCTGTTTGTTACATTTATTGAAAGAATATGAATATCGTATTTGTTGTATTTGTTGGTAATAGTTTGAAGATAAATTCATGTTATCCGTTATCCAATAAATTTTGTTAGGAATTTTAGTGAACGCATAAAAAAGTTACAAAATATTTTAGACAATATCTGGTAATTCCAGAAAACCCTTTTAAGAGTTTTCTAAATAACGGGATTTTTTGTTTTATTTTTTTTTATTATTTTGGAAAAAAAATTGGCACGAACTCCGAGGTTCAAAATGAAGACGCAGCATAGTAATAAATGAAACCATATACGTACAGTATATGTACAAATTTATTATGAAACATCTCATGCAAAAATTTAATTTATCAAGCATCTGGATCTTTTTTTTTTTTTTTCACAACAATCTTAACAATCTTGGCGTTTTATCATTATTATTTAGATAATATTTCGTAATAAAGATAAACATTCGGCGTAACAATAAACCGAAAACAAATTACGAAATTATGTAATTAATAAGGAGAGTATAACGTTCACATGATATATCAATGAGTTTTGGAATCATGGTCGAGACCATAAATGGAATACTGGGACCTGTTGTAACCCTGTTAACCGGGTACAACAAACCGGTTAATTGGTTGTAACCAATTGCAGAAAAATCATTTAATTTTGAACTGATTGTTCTATTCAGAATATTATGATCATCATTTTGTTGTGTAAGTCTCGGCAACCAATTAATCGGGATAACTAAGCCGATATGAATAAAACTTCAATAGATTTCCAAAAATGGTTAGTACAAATAAGATCAGTTCCAACGCCCCGAAAAATTTCATTCACGACCTCTTTATATATTTATTCAACATATTTCGCCTCAAAACTGAAGTAAAAGTAAAATATCAAAATAAGATGACATATCTTATTGAGGATTGTTTAAGAATAATCGTTACCAAATTGCAAAATGATTCAAGTTCCTTATATTCGTGCATTTTGGTGAATAGATTTTGGTGTCGAATGACCATACCGATATTATGGAAAAATCCTCTTGCTTTTAAAAATATTTCACATGATAAATTTTACACCACAATAATTAATATGTTACCAACATCATCAATAAAATTTTTAGTTGAAAATAACATTGTGTTACCTTCACCTATAATTTCAAGACGACCTTTATTTAATTATCTTAGTTTTTTATCACAAATTTTACCAGGTTTTATTGATGGAATTATAAATTTATTAATTAAGGATGAAATATCTGATTTAATGAATTTTCAAAATATTCAAAATAGTTATAAATTAATTTTATTAGAACAAGAAATTTATAAATTATTTATTAATAATTGTAAGAATATCATAAGTTTTCATTGGCAAACAGTTTTACCTTTATTTCAATTTCCAGGATCATTTACTTATTTTTCAAAATTATATTCCTTAATTATAGATTTTCAATGTATTAATTCACTAACTTTAAATAATATGGCACAAACTTGTCAAAATATTGGAGATTTAAAATTATTGTATTGTAACGGAAATAATCCAGGCTTAATAATGCTTGTTGACGCTCAAAAAAATTTAAAATCTTTATTAATATATTTTAAAGGCGGTCAAAAACAATGTACACAATTAAGTGAAGTAATAGAAAGAAAAGCTGGAAAATTAACTAAACTTATCATAAAACCAAGTATTGCTCCAATATCACCTAAATTTCTTTTATCATTGAAGTATTTAAAACATTTGGAACTTAATAATGATCATGGTTATGAATATTATAATGAAGGTAAAGAAATGCAAGAATGGAGAAAATATTTATCAATTGTTTCTTTTCCGGAACTTCAATATCTTAAAATTTCATATTTACCAAATTATGATGATTATAAATTGATCGAAAAATCTCATCAAGGCTTATTAGAAATTAATATATGTCGTAGATATGAATACCAAGATTCCGTATATACTAGTAAATTAATTAAGGCGATCGCCAAATATTGTCCAAAGATTAAGAAATTAGCAATTGACGTTGAACTTGAAAATTTAGATGAAATAAGAGAAATGTTATTAAATTGTCCACAATTAAAAACTATAGATCTTTCAGCAATTAATGAGAAACAAATTATTTGTGATAAATTATTAGAAATTATTATTGATTTTTCACCAAAAAGTTTGTATAAATTTTCATTTAATGGTTATTGGATATTTTCGGTTGAAAGCTTACAAACCTTTTTTGAAAATTGGAGGAATAAATTTCCAATTAAATTTTACATTTCTTTTAGCGATGAAAGTTGGGTTACTGAAGAATATGGAATTATTTTGAAAAAATATTTAGATGAAGGAATAATTAAAAGAACAAATTTTTTTTGTTAACATTTACTTATATCACATTTCTTTTTGTACATTTCATGTATTGTATGTTAATATAAATAATAAAAATCAAATCGATTAGACAATATATTTATATAAGTATAAAATTTCAAAATATATAAATTAACGTGTAAACGACTCCAGATGGAGTTACTCAATATTTTAGGTGATAGATCGAAAATCATATTTCATTATATAATTCCGGCCCTAAAGAGACTCGTAGCTAATAGTAAATGAGTGAGCCCTGTTATGTCTCCAGTGGTCAAAATTGGATGTGCGGAATGTGCGATCCACACATCACTTTAAATTTGCGCACAAATTATAATAAATGAGGGTTAGGATTTGCAAACATTGCACAATAAATCGCGCACATTTGATGCGCGTAAGCCACAAAAACGCGTTAAGCCGTTAATGGTTAGTCCATTAGAACTTAGTTCCTATGAAAGTGCTTACGAGTATTGGTTTACTAGATTTGGAAATATTGATAATAAAATATAATAATCATTAAGTTCATATTTTTTAATAAACATGTGCGCATTGCACACATCTCTTAAATTTGGCGTGTGCACACACATATCCGCACATGATTTTCAATCTTGCTCACATAACTAAAAATAATCATGTGTGCTGTGCTAACAAAACACTGTCATAATCTTATGATGCTTATCAAAGTCTATAAACTCTATAAACTGTTTCCGTTTATTAAAAGCCAATTTTCTTTTCAAAATGTGAATAAAGTATGCTTAATGTTAAATTTTGTATGTTTTTGTAAATGTGTGTTATAGTCTTTGCATATTTAGATCGATTGAATGGATTGAATGGTATTGGATTAATGTATTAAAAATGATTATAATAAATCGTATCAGGCAACATTCGAATCACGTGATACCAGTTAAATCACTTGTGCAGCACTTCGTGCCGAATATATTGTCAAATAAAAAAGAGTTTAAATTGTGGAATATTACGAATATTACCTGTTACATTTTTTTAATTTTGTGTAATAATAACAGCAAAATAATTACACAAATTAACAATAGTAATAATAATATAAATCTTATTAAAATTTTAATAAAACCGGATTTAGTACCATTTAGCACTGCCTAGAAGTCTGTATTTTTTGTTTAACGAGATTTTTATTAAATTTTTGTACAAAATATAATTCCTTTTTTTTTTCAAATCAAAAAAATTTTTATACGTAGATCATTTTAGTATAGTCGTAGTTTTCGGAAAATCAAAGAAATTTAATCGTTAATTTATAAACAGTTAAAACAAAACAAATTCATCATAATTATTTAAAAATATTAATATTTAATATAATAAAAATTATGAATATTAAAACTATGCAATAAAAAAATGATAAAATTCTAATTTATTTATTTTATAACGTGAAATTATAATAATTATAATGTAGATCACATGTATAAATTTTGTGGCACAGCAATTTGTTAATTTTAACCAACACGGAAAATTGTGATTTTGATATAAAATGAATATATATTTTTTATTCTTTTTATTTTTTTAAAAAAATAAAAATTTTATTATATACGAAAGTATAATTTACTGTTTTTTTTAACTATCTTTTATTAAAATACATTGCTTTCCGCTATTTTTACTTAATGGAAGGATCGGGATCTGTTCATACTACAATGCGTGTTTATTATTTTTTTTATTATATAAAAAATAAAATAAATTAATACTAAAACAATATTTTAAAAAATAAAATAAAATTAAATAAAATAAATAGAAAAAAATAAAAACATAAAATATTCAATTTTCTTATTTTATAATTTTTTTTAAAAAAAATAATGATGATAAAAATAAATTATTATTACTTAATGCTTTTTTTTTATTAGATTCAAATCTTTGCTTAACAAACTGATTGGCAATTTTTTATTAATTTACTCTTTTTAATATAAATGCTGTATTTTACCTAACTGCCAGTTTCTTTTATTTAATTATCTTTTATTAAAATTTTAGTGCAGTTAAGTTATAACATTTGTTGTGCGACGTTTAAAAAAATTATACAGGCGAAAAAAATTAAATTATTAGAAAAATATATAAACTATGACATAATAAACTAAAAAAGAAATAAGTTATCTAAATTAAATTAAAAAAAAAATGCATAAATTTTTAAATCTAAATTCGGCCGGAATTAACGAAATTTTGGCCGGAATTAATAAAAATCCTGGTTAAACTCGGGCCCGGCCGGAAAATTTAATGCCAACCCGGATCCGGACCGGGTGAATTTTGAAAGAAAATTGCCGGCCCAAACCTGGATCCGGGTCCGGGTTTCTGGGTTCCAGGTAGGGATTGGAATCGAAAATCGAATCTTTTCAAGATTTTTCTTATAGACGACCAACCTGACTTTGAATCAGTTTCTAATTTCAGCAAAAATAATCAGCACTTGGCCGGCATGAAAAATTACTTTGGAGTCAGGTTAACTTACATGTAAAAAATTGCTGAGAATCGATTCTCGAGAATCGATTTTACTATGTTTTGTCGATTTTCGATTAATCGATTCCAATCCCTAGTTCCAGGTCCCGTTTTTCAGGCCTCTAGCACTGTCTATAGACGGAGATGTTACAGCTATTTGCGAAAATAACGGACTATCTAATTCATTTTATGAAATTTTCATATGCAGTCATACGCATGGGAATATCTGCCCGGACCGTCAAATTCATTTTTTGAATTTTTCATATGCAGTCATCCGCAGTTATATCACAATAATTCTAGCAGTTTACTACTATGCATGTATGACTGCGTATGTTTGCAAAAATCGATTTAGGTGGTCCGTTATTTTTGCAAATATCTGTAATTGATCTGTCCATTCCGGACATATTAGTACACCTGATCAGATTCTTATGTTGCACAAAATTGAAAGCGATTTATTTAATTTTATTTTTGATTTTTTTTTTTTGAAAAAATATAGTAGAAACTTGGCAATATAATTTATTAATTATATGCCATTTTTTATTCTTGAAACTTAATTATTAAAAATAATGAAGTTCAACATTATACTATAAAAAATATAAACTAAAAATGCCATCTGTCAACTCCATTCTATTTTATGATCATACTAATTTAGTTCTACATACCAGCTTTTTAAACATAATGAAGTACGTGTTACTTCTGGATTAATATGATTATGAGTTGGACTAACTGTATGTTTAGCAATCGAAAATATTTGTTCACTAGCTACACTAGTTGCTTGAATAGCACGATAATCCATTGCAATATAGGATATTATTTAACATTTGCTTTCCACCATAAGAGTGATTCCACATTAGTTTCAGGTTCAGAAAAATATGCATCAATTTCATTTCTTGTACTTAAATGAGTTGTGCTATTTTCTATAGCTGCAAGACTAAGAAAAAATTTATGAGATGTTTTAGCAATAAGTAATATAATTTGTTTCATTTTCTTGTGTAGGCTCATATTTTTCATATATGAAGTATGTTGTAGTTTATATTGTTTGTATTTTTTCATTAAAATTATAAGTTTGTTTCAAGATTTTCATCTATGGAAAGTATAGGTAGAAGTCTAACAATGAATAGATAAGATTACATTATTAATTATACATTGAGTTTGAGAAGTAATTTACCAAGACTTAGTTTAGTAGAGCAAAGCATGGATCAAGTAGACCTGGAACCATAGATAAGACCAATATGTTCCAAGCTTGGTTTTATTGCATTAGCAACAGTTGATTGACTGTATTCAGAATTTGTATGTTTATTTAAGAGTTGAATTAAGCCACAAAAGATTACGCGTAAATTACCCTGAGTAGGTACTAATGAGGAAGAGGAGAGCATTGTTGTTGCATAATAAATAAATAGGCTCAAGAATAACTAATAGATCCTACTTTAAATAAATTATTAAATTATTATAAAAATCATTTTTAATATCATTTTTAATTAATTTAATTCATAAAGAATTTAAATAACACTAACTGAAATACATTTCCAATCTTGTTACATAGGGTAAGGTTACTTGTAACAAGAATATTAATTATAGAATGAATGTGTTAAACTTTTCTAGCATTATATAAATACTATTCTAACATCAGTTTCAGGCATTAAAAAGTGGAGTTTCTCTCATTTCAAAAATTTTCTTTGATTCTCTAAGTAATGAAGGTGAATTTTGAAGTTTACAGAAAATTCCTGTGCTTTATGAATTTTTTGTATCAACTAATTTTATTCCTTCTTTAACTCCAAGGTTAAGAATATGTGCAGCATAACGAAAGTGATCTATATCATTATTTTCAAATTCTTCAAACAATTTTGTCCTAAATATACATCCTGTAGTAATCATATTGGATGCATTATCAGTTAAAAATTCCAAGAGCTTTTTACCTATATTGATTTCTCTTAAAGTTTTAATGGTTTCATTACTTTGATTTTCAGCAGTATGACCATTATAAAATGGAATGGTATCAAGTAAAATTTACATATCATCAATCCAATGTATTGTTACATTAAGATAAGGTTATTTTCATACATCAGTTGTAATTGATACATTTGAAGGGATTGTACCTAATAATTTTTAAGCTCACTTTTTTTATCCATAATTTTTGGAGACTATGTCATAAGTAGTATGTAAAAATGCAACTACACATGTATTACGTGTATCTCTGCTTTGACACCACCATTCTGAAAAAACATCTTTCCAACATTGTATCTTTTTCAATATATATGCTAAAATTCTTCACAAAGATTTTACATATGACTTTTATCATGATTTTTGAGATTGTGAGGAAGTTTAAATTGAATGAACTTATATACTAACTGATCAAAAAAATCCCCTAATTTTTTTTTGGTGAAAAATATGATCTAGCATTTTAATATGATACTTAAAGATAATATTAACCATTAGTAACAACTAACATAACAAATGATATTAATTGTCTACGTGGTACAGGTCGAAAAAATCTCACAACGAGCCTGAGAAATGAAGACATTTTCATGAACAATAAAGAAAACTGAGACTTTTTATCTTATTGATGATTGATCCAGTCTTGCATGTAATATTCTTCTGTTGTCATTATTTACTAAAACTTTGTTGAAACAATTTAAATTTATCTCTATCACTATATTAATAAAATTTTCTGGCAGCTTTATTCTTTTCAAACTTTTTCTAACATTGTTGTACTCACTGAATCATATGCTTTTGAATATCCATTAATAATATCACAAAATAGCATATCACTTGAAGGTGAGTTTTATAGAATATAATACTATGTTGAATTCCAGTAATAATTAAATAGAAAATTTTATTTATTGATTTTTTTGAAATTTTTGGTTTGAAAGATTGATCGTATTTATGATATCTCAAGACTAAATTATAGTTGCTTTTATACATATGTAAAGATACTGTATATATACAGAAAACAGTGTCTTCTTTCACTAAATAATATGTAAGCATTATAAATATTGATGAACTTAAGATATTTTTAATGATGCTTCCATTTAGTTGATAATGATTTTAACAAAAATAATAATAAAATGATGGTAATTTAGTTGATGATAAATATTATTAGTGTAGAACAGAAATTAATATTCACTTGCTTCTCCAGCCTTTACATAATTCAAAATTTTTTTAGTTGTTAAGTTAATTATATGTGCAAGACATTGCATATTATTTTTTTTATGAAGAAAATTAATTTCATTTTGAGTACAAATTTGCTCAAGTTCTTTTAAAAATGTATTGTTGTTTGAAGTATTATCTGCTATTATTGCTATATATAATCTATATCAATATATCAATTTAATTTATATGTTAGATAATTACAGCCAGTATATATTTAAGCAAATTCATTCCTAGAAAAAAAGAAGCCGCTCCAGATTGGACAAAAATGGGTATAACAGATTATCAAAAAAATTTGTTGATTATACAGAAAATATTGATTATAATTATCATACAAATTATCAATACTACTTTCATTACTTTCACTATTTTGATAATCATTTGCCATAAATTTTATTACATTTTATAATCCATTTTAAAAATCATTTAGTCTGAGCATTGTAGAATTATGCATAGTCCATTATCCATTTCTTTAACAGATTTATTATCAACTTTTCAATGTAAATATTCTTATGTAAATTCTAAGGCCAATAATAACAATAATGATTTGTTTTTGAGTTAATTAATATAAATTATTGTAAGATGCAATACTTTATCATTATTATCAGAAATGGTGACTTCAAATATAAAAAATTTTCTAGTACAGCTTTATCAAATGTAGTCATACTTGAAGAATTCTTCTAGACTGTTAAATGATATTTGTGATTGTTGTGTACCCTATGATAATTGTGATTGTTGTATTGTTGAAGACATATTTAAATATGTTTTTAAACTAAAGATAAAGATTTCTCATTAACTACAAAAAAATAACCATTTACTTATATGTAATAACATATAGGAGACAATCAACCCCCAGCACCCATATTTTAAATACTATGCTATTATCTCTAGATTTCCTTTGCTTATTGCTTATATTGTGAAGAGTTTGTAATTACTTAGGAGAAAGGAATATACTGCATTGATTATGAAAAGCATAAAGTAAGACATTTTTGACAATTGCAACTTCCATTTTTATGACAAGAACTTAATGTATAATCACTATTGTCTATTACTTCACAGTTAGGCCATTGTGTGCTACATCTCAATAACAGCTATTTTTGTTTTCAACATCATTATATTTAATAAATTTGGACCAAATAACTAATGAAAAATCTAATAAGTATATTTGATTAGGGTTAGGGTTAAAAGGTAGTTATATGAAATTATTAAAAGAGTCCCATATGGCTATAAAGATCAATAAGTATTACAATGCTGAATATGTAAATGTTATTTAACCATTGTGGCATTAAATTCCTTAATTTAATAATACTTCATACATTGTATATTTGGGTAAAAGGATAATTACTAATAATAAATTATTAAGAATAATCTTATTACATTATGGTAAATAATAAATCAATAATAATAAGTGGTATAAATTCTAATTTTTTATGTGAGCCATGGATCAACTTTTTGCAATCTTGTACGTAAATCTCCAGCACTTAAGAGGCTATTTTTGCATTTGCCCTAACTTTTCACCAAATGTTGATTCATCAGAAATAACCATGCTTGCCTCTGGATCTTGCTACATCTGAAAGGGCAATACTTGCTAGATTTTTTTTGAGTTCACTATATAGAGATATATCTGTATCAGTCATTGGTACTCTGAGCTTAGATTGTAATACTCTTAAATTTGCCCAATCTCCTCTTTCATATTATCAGGAAGGGATTCTTGTTCTGTATTCAATCCTTTTACCGCATTTAATCCCATGATACTTTTGTACCTAATCTCCATGATCTACAGCAATGTAATATGTTAGAATTATAATCCCATGAATTACTTGAAAAATATAATTCAGGAATTTCCCCTATCAAACATAAAAAGCAAAAATAATCTTCAAAGAAAATTTCGTATTTCTATTTTATTTATGATTTTTATTCCAAGAGATCTTCATATCTTAAACCTCTTCGTCCTCTTATCATAAAATATATTTACCATCTTTGTATCTTCTTTTGTCTGTTGATTTTTCTGATGATTCTTCCTCAATTTGAAATTGTTGTGCTTTTTTAAGTGAAATACGTTTTGGATTATGACCTTAAGCACTGTAAAGATCTTGTATTTCAATGATTGCATCATTATCTGCACTTATTCTTATATTCTTTCCATTTTCCAATTTTACACCCTTATCCATTAATTTGAGTTTTATCTTCTTCATTCTGAAAATGAATAAATCTATAACTAAAAGGTTTAATTTTTTATTTAATATTAAAATTAAATATTAAAATTAATGTTTTTACTATACATACTTTAAGTAAGGTTTGAAGCAATGAAGATATCACACTTTGGATTTAAAATTTCTATTTTAATAAGTTGTCAAATAAATAAAGGAAATAATCAAAATGATATGCATTTTGCTGTAAAAACTGAAAATTAATTTAACAGTTATTTTTACTGATATGGTAAAAGCTGGAATATTTATTGTAACATATCTCCCATCAACATCCAAATAACCTTGTTATTATTCTTGATAAATAATATTGAGAACTAGTTATAATTCATACATTGCAGTCATTTTGTTTTTTTTGTAACAATTCAAAATTTTGAAAAAATTATTTTTGATTATAAAGAGAGTTATTAAGCAAGGATTTCACAAATGAATTGAAAATTAAGACTAATTATTTGGGACTACTGTAGCATGTTTTCACAATTGAATTCCTTTCATTGCTTAATATCAGATTCTTTAAAATCTTTAGTAATTATTGGAGTAATAGGAGTTATAAGTCTGACAAATATTGTGTCTTTTTGTGAATAAACTTGAAAGAAGCCTTATCAACAAGTTGATTTAAGATAATTATTATTATTTTTTTTTATCTGCAACACATTTATAAATTTGTTAGCAGAGAAATAAAATTTAATTAATCTATACTAATATTATTAACCTATAAACCATCCATCATCTATAAACCTCATATGTGCACCGTTAACTAAGTTATTCCCACTATCTTGAATCTATCAGTCATGCAAGTACTATTATTTCTATTACTTATGACAAATGCAAAGTATTTCTTTAGTGGAATTTGCTAGCTTTGTATCCCAGATTACATCCTGCATCTAATAAATGTAATGTTATTCCTTGTATAATATATTTTTATGAATACACATTTTTTCATATAAATCTAGCTTAATCAAAACTTTTATAAACAGTTTTTAATAAAGTACAAACATTTGGAGGAATAGAGATATTTGTTGCAAAGTACCATTAACAAATACCTTTTTTGTTTTGTTTTTATTTTCCAGCCACTTTTTTTTGTGATTGAGAGTGCTTCAGACTTTTGTTCTTTGGTCTTTGAGGCTTGGGGTGGCCAGGTAGGTTTCTTTCCATCCTTTTCTGCCTTTACCTTCAATTTCCCTTTGTTTTCATTGCCTTTAGTTGGCACCCAACTGTATTTGAAAATATCGTCAACATTTCATTTTTCTCACATTTTCTTTAAGAGATACTTTGATTTCAAGACTTGATAAATCATAAAATACATCATCATCATTAAATTCATAATACTTCTGAATTTCATTTAGATTTTCAGGCTTACTTTTCATTTTACTGCTTTTTTTTTTGTTTTTTCCTTATCTTTATAATAAACTGAAATTTTACTTGAAATTATTTTTGATATAGTAGACTTTAGTACTATATGTATAGATTTGGTATATTGAGAAAAACTAGTAATCATTGAATAAAATTAAAAAATATTTGCATAATTTGTTTCTTAATATCAATGTCACAATGTCATGGTTAATATGCTATCTTCAATTTTATTTTCTAAACCATAAGGTAATTAGGAGGTTGTATTATCAATTATTTGATTATTATAGAAAGAAGGTTCTTATGGCTGAAGTTCTATGATATTGGTAATATTCCTTAAGCAACTTATTATTTTTTACAGACAACCTAGCAGTAACCTCCTTCAGATCTTCATTTCATTGATCAGCAAAATTTCCCATTGTGTTCCTTGTTAATTTCACTCATAAGTTGGTAACTCTCAATGAGGTCATACAAGCTAATTTTATCTATATATCTCATAAAGTACTCAGCCTCTGGTATTATTCATTTTTTAAATCAGGTATTTGTAAGATACTCAAAATATTTTATGCATTAATAAAAATAATTTTTTGAAAAATGGTTGGGTTATTATATATTTGAAAGTTAGTTACTAGGCTGAGTATAAATAAACTTGATTGTCAACCAAGCCCAGTTTAGCAATCCTATCTTACCAATGATTTGTCATCTTTTAAAAATAAAAAGCCATGTTAATTAGCTAAGCCAAGAGAAGCCTCCTCTTGATTTTATGATTATCACAGTGAAGATTTTATTTTATCTCTATTACTTTATAGCATTAGAAATTATGAATATATTTATAAATTCATTCTATTCCAGCCCTATAAAAAATTTTACCGTTATTTTTGTAAAAACTACGTAAAAATGAGCCTTTCACGGATCCATTCACGGAAAATGTAAATAATCCGATAAAATTCCGTGATATAAGGTTATTAATTCCGGAAATATGAGCCTTTTACGGAAAAAAGATGGAATATAAAAAATGGATCGACTTTTTTCACAGGGCAAAGACTACAGAAATGAAAAATTAAAAAAAAACCCAAAGTACTTTAAAAGAATTAGTAAGTCAAATAACATTAAAAAGTGTAAAGTTTTTTAATTCAACTGATAAATTAGCATCATATCAGAAAAAATTTCCAGTATGAGAAGAGATCTCGCTGATTCATCATGTAAATACGTAAATATATATATATATATAGTATGTAATATATATCAATTATGGTACGGATGAGTGTGAGAACACAATAAAAAAAATTTGGACTATAGTATTAGCATCGAGAATGTCCATAATATATGCCTAAAAAACTATAAAAACATCTAAAATATCTGGAAAATGTAACAAAATATAAAGATTTAGGACATTATCTTGGAAAGCAAGAACAAAACTTCAGAATTCTGGAATCCCTTCATAAGGAACACAAATTATTTTCGGAAAATTGGATAAATAGCTAAAATTATTTCGGAATATTTAATTTTTGTTTTTTTGTTTTTGTTTTTTTGATAGTTTTTAGATGCGTAAACATTAAATATTGCTTGATGATTTACATTTTTTTTTTTTAAAAAAAAAAAAATTGAAAATAACAATATTATATTTGTTCAAGAAATTCAGAATTAGCAAGAGATATTTTATAATAGATTTTACAATATTATTATCGTTATGCTATAAAAGGCGGATTTGTTGGTAAAGTAAATAGAGCAAATTGGAATAAATCTATTAAATGAATTAAGGATGCATTATATTACAGTTTATTTATTGATATTTTTATATGTAGAGTATATTGTATTATAGAGTAGTAAATTTATTATCTTCAATTGAATAAGTACATGATTTATTTTGGATTTGTTGTACGTGGTTTCTTAATACCGGATCTTGGCCAGCATTATGAAATCCTAGTCCGGCACTATGCCTTAATTCTGGCCAACGTCCTTTATTGGATTCGGAATCATATAGATTCTGTTACCACCTACAACAGATTCAAAATACTAAAATTTTTATTTTCACACTTGCATAAATAAATATTACAATTGAATATACGATGTTTTACTTTAATTTGGCTCACGAAATTTACAAGGAAAAAATTACATCAAAGCTGTTGTTTTGGTATAATAATATATGAAATAATTTCAGGATTACCTCTGTATCATGATAATAGTATATACTAATAAAAATTTAATTATAAAAAATTATCAAAGAATTAAACCAACTAAAATAAGCAAAATTAATATTATACATTAAATAACGTTAGACGTAAATAATTAAACTAAATAGACCAATCGTTGATAAATTATACAAGGTTTTATTATTATATCAGATATATGGTACTGTATTATTTAGTAAATGTCATTAAAAGGCAAATAATGATGTAAATAATATATTCAGTAATTAAGATTTTCTTTGTTTACGTGTAAAAAAAATAACGATGTTTCATTGGTTTCATTTGAAATGGGCTTCTTAATTAATTAGCATTGATATTTGTGATCTTTTTCTGGATTATTAGATATAAGAGGACAAGTAAGATAGAGTTTACGCGATGATAGATAGTATGTGTACGTTAATTACTTAACCTTTCTCCTTATTAGAGCCCTCCTTTCTTTCTTGAACTTAATCATCGTACTCGCTAAAGTATTAATATAAATAATTTATCATATTACGTACAGTAATTAATCTTTTGTTTGACCCATAATTACTGTATCTTACAAAAATATCATTTTTTTCATAACATTTACTTCACAATCACATTATTATACAAGTTGAATCGAATAAGATATGGATAAGGAATTTGAAAGATTTCACCAACTTATCAAAAAAAAAAAAATTTGAGGAAAAAGATCAATAATAACAAATAATAAACAATAAATGCTTATACATATCAGATAACCTAAATTCATATTTACATTAAACTAATGCCAAATCGTTATATATTGGATAAGGGAACTAAAATGGTTTTATTGTTGGCTTGGAACATGGATAGGATATCATCCACCTTTTATCAACACACCGCAAGATGCACATTACCCAATGGTATCTATTATTGTAATTATTATTAAAAAAAAAATTTTTTGTTTTAATATTATAAAAATTTGATACACAAAAAGATTTTTTAATTATACTTTATGATAAGCCTAAAATCCAAAACCAAATATCTAAAATATAAATATAAATATAAATGCAACTATCTAATTCCCTCCCTCAAAGAAACTATTTTAATAAAACAACTTTAATAATTGACTTGATGGGATAATTCTAACATTTTGTTCTTTTAAGGAATTAATTATTTCAATTATTTCTGATTCCTCATCATCTAAATCAAATTCATCTTCAATTCCCAACACTCTCAAAGAATTATGAACTTTTTGATAATTATTCAAACATATTAAATAACCTTCTCTCAAAGATTTATTATTAGGAATAATAAATTTTTCTATATTAGCTTTACAATTACTAGTAAAATATTCAAAGGATGATAAATCAATGAAAAAGTCAAAGAATAAATGATGAACAGTTGTCAAATAATCACCCAAAGTTTTAACTAGTAAACTTGCACTAACTCTATAAGATCCAATTTGAATATTTAAAATTTTTAAATATGGTAACTCACAAATAAGGGGAATAATTAAATCCAAATATTGTCCTGAAAAGATTTTAATATGTAAAAAAGTAATGTTCGGACAGTATTTTTTTACTGTTCTGATTGTCTCTAGAGTAATAATGTTTAAGGATAGTTTGTTTAATGATTCACCACCAAGAGATTTAATCATAGTATCTATAACATTTAATTTTATGTCATTACCATCAAATCTATCATAAAGGTCATCAAGTCCACTATGCCATAGTTTTAATTCTTTAAGTTGAAATTTTTTATCAGATAGAAATTCATAATGATGTGATATAAAACCTTTACAATAAATAAATTTAAGTCGTTCCAGACGCTTTAAATTTGATATGAATGATAAATCAATATCTCGAAAATCCAAACATTCAAACAATAACTCCTTTAGAGTTTCTGAACGAAATTCTAATGCTTTTATAATTTTTTTAGCATTTTCTTCTATATTAACAATACATATTAAGACTCTTTCTAAAGGTTGTAATTGAATAATATCTAAAAATGGCTTGACGAAAATTTTGTTTAATTTGAAAATCCATAAATCACAGTTAATAATATTACGACAAAATGTAGGAATAATAGTTAAAAATTCAATAGTATTTTGACAACTCATATAATGATTATGCCCTAAATCAATCTCCATATTCAAAGATCTTAAATCCGTAATTCCAGGATTAAAAGTTATAAAAGTGGAAACTTTTGGTAAGTCAATATAAGAATCATTTTGAGATACGTTTAATTTAAATTTCTGTATATTTGAGCCTTGTCGTAAAATCATATGATATATAACATCCATCAATTTTTGTACTCTATAATCTTGATGTCTGTCAACATCATATCCTTCAGAAGGGTTAAGCCAAGTAATAATATTTTGTTTAACAAAATCTTGATCGATCCTTCTCACATATTTTCCGTACTCAAATAAAGGTGGTTTGTTTATTGGAAAATCTATTTTATAAGGAATCAAGGAAGAAATTTCATCCTCATTAAGACAGACGAGTAAAGTGTTTATTACTAATGGAAATTTAGGTTTTCTGTAAATGGGTCTAAAAGGTTCTTTCCAAATTATGGGAATAGAAAGTTTACAATAAAACCTATTCACGAATAAACATCTATATAATGATCTGTTATCAAGAAAAGAGAGTATATCACCAAAACATTCATCAGGTAATGAAGATAAAGGCATCTTTTTACTAAAAAAAAGAAACCTTATTTTTGTTAAATAAATATTTTTTTTTTTTAAGAAGGAAAAAATGAGATTTTTTTTTATTTTTTTATTCGTTCCATTTTTGTATTATTTTGGTCAAATGACCTGGTCGATCAATTTAATTCACGTTACATTACATATTTCGAAAGATTTACCGACAATCTTATTTAGGAAGGCTAATTACGGTAATTTTCTTTAATTTTGACCGGAATTATTTTTAACCGGTTAAAACGGGTTACAATTACCGTTGCATTTTTTAATAAGAAAATTCATGCATTACGTAAAATTCACGACCAAATTATATTTACCTAAATAATTTCTCGATGAGCGAGTCATGATGATGAAATCCCTATCTAAATTTCATGATGTCATTATGATGTAATATTATTTAAGTGATCGCTGCGGTACCTCTAGTACGTAATATTTATATTAGTCGTACCGTCTATTTTTTTCCCAAGAAGCGGTATTTATACAATATATAAAAATATAAAAAGGAGAATGAAATGCATATCTAAGTTTTCGTAAAAAAAAAAAATATATATTATATTGCGTGATGGAACATATGTATCGTATATAGCAAAAAGATTCTTTGCCGACAACTCGATCACATGACATTAGGATATTTGGTGTCCTAAACATGTCCTGTAAAATTAACTGTAATTATGACGTAATAGGCTATTTAATAATCATCGCAAAAGTAATAGTCACACTCTTGATCGGCGATCATTTGAATTGTGGAATTCCTATAACGTGACTTATTTTTAAAGGTTATATAATAAAAGCTAGCCAAAAAAATATAATGACCGATTTTTTAAACAATAACAGAATTTAAATTTTATTATTATCGTTTTTCTAAGTAAATTATGTAATACAATTATTGATATATTTAAGGAACGTTCACATTTCTAATAAATTAATAAAACTTTCTCTGAATTTACGAATAAAAAAAAATGGGAACTACAAATGTAACTGATCTATTCAGTGATGATAATGTACAAGCCAGCATGATGGAATTTGGCAAAGGAATGCAAAAAGTCATGGTAAATTTTCAAAATTGTACCGAAAGAATTAAAATTGGAAGATCTAGTGCTATATCCGACCATATTAGAGAAACTAGAAGACTTCGTGATACGTTTCGTCAATTTGTTGAAGATTCATTGGAATTCAACGAACGTTTATCAAATTATTCGCTTGATATTTTATTTTTTATAAAATGTTTTAAAGATTTTGATAATTATTCTGATGAAGTTGTTTTAGGATTAATGCACGACCTTTTAGAAAAGTCTCGAGAAAATCATGAATTGTCTAAAGAATTAAAAAAAAAAATAAAAACTGATGACGAATCTGGAATTAATGACCGGTTGATCAAAATACAAAATTCTTTACCAGGTCGTATTGAAACGATTAATGATGAAATTAATAGAAAGAAAATATCAGCATTAATTCCGAAAGGTAATGGATTAGCTAGCGCAGTTACTAGATATGTTATTTCTCTTTTCATTGATGTAAAATATCTGTATCGTAAGCTGGATGAAATAGTTTCGATAAAAGACTTTGATAATAGTTTAACGTCAATTATTATGGAAATTAGCAAGATCGAAACTTTTTGGGGCATGCAAACCGAAAGAATCAAATACCTTATCGATAATCTCGAATCTGGTAGAGACATTAATCGTCAACGAGCTGTTCACAATATCGAACAAAAGTGGAAAAATGTAGAAAAAGAATGCCAAATTTATAATAGAGCGATGAACGACGTATTGACCAGGGATAGACTTATCTGCATTGAGGTAAAATCAATTTCTTATTACACTCATTCAAGCAATAAACTAATTCTTGAATAAATTTAGTAAAGAATCACGACACGTAATTTCTGCGTCAATTAAATTATGACGTATCAAAATGAAGAAGTAATAGATCTTTTTTTGATATATCAAGAGATTATACGAGTTATACATTTATATATATGATTATTTTTTGGGCCGTGTATATTGTCATTATTGTGTTCTAATCTGCAATAAAGAAAGCTTTAGTATTATTGATTAACCTCTTTAGCTAATTTATAATTCTCTTAAGTTCAATAAATCTCGTAACAAAAAATTTAATCAATTATAATGTAATTTTTAATTTTGTCATTTTCGGTAAAATTCTTAAATTTTCCATGATCATTTGCGTTTGCGTATCATTATTACTAAATTCAAATATAAATTTCGTCGGCAATATTAATAATTATTTTGATTTAAAAATTATTTGGGAATAATTATAAAACATACATTCTATTTTACTATCTAACGCAAAATGTTAGTAAGAGAAGCGTAAATTACGTATATTTTATCACGTATTTAATATCACTTTATTTATACTTTATTGATAAATAAATATTTTACAAAAAAAAAAAAAATACATAAATTTTTAAATTTTAAAAACAATTTCTCGAACATCCCAAAATAATTTATGACCCCATAACTATAGTTAATTTGTAGTTAAAACACGAATCATCATGCTTTATTGCACTATGCATGTTTAATATCAAGAAAATAATTTGTGCCTCAATCAAGATAGTCGTTGTACAATACATTATTCATCACTTTATTATAACTTTGGCATTTTCTTTCTATATCTTCCCAATTTTTCTTAAGAATGTGAACAGTTAAACTTTGTTGAATGTTTTGATCTTTTTGACTTTCGAAATTTTTGAGATTTGTAATAATATTTTTAATACTTTCGATTTGCTCGCCCCAAAAAGTTTTGATATCACTAATTCCCAAAATAATTGTTCTTAAATTATCGTTAAAGAGATTTATCATTTTCAATTCATTCTTCTTACCACTCAATTGATTTTTAATTACTTTTTTTTCTTCGTCTAACCATTTTTCTGCATCCTTCTTAGCTTCTTCAAATACTTTCATTTTAGTAAGTCGAGCTAAATTTGATACCACAAAAAAATAAATAATATAACGTGTATCACCTTCATATGATATTAATGCTTTCTCATTTGAAGCAATCTCGTTTTCAAAATCTTCAATATATCCTGGCAAAGAATTTTGGATTTTAATTAATTCGTTCATGATTCCGCCGCATTTTTTATCATCCGATTCTCCGTAACCAAATATACTATTTACTAATTTTTTAAAAAATTTCATAATTCCATCTTCTTCATCAAAACCAACTCCTCCATCAACAAATAATCTTTTTTCTAATTCTTTAGCTAATATATAATTATCATTTGATTCTTTTAAAAGGTCATTCAATAATACTAAAATTCCTTCATTAGAACAATTTCCATTAAGACATTTTTTAATAGATGAAACTTTAACCGCATAATTTTTTAAACGATTATTAAAATCCAATGAATCTTTAACAAATTTACGAAACATATCATGAAGTTTTTTAACCTCTTTAATATGTTTATTCATAATATTGGAATGTTTGCCGATTTCTTTGGTCCAATATTTAAAATTTTTCATGATTATTTTCATTGTTTTTCCATCTATCATACAAGTAAACTGTGTATTTCCTGTAACATTATTACTAGATTCAGGTTGGGTTTCGTTGTCGATATTAGTCATTTTATCTTTTTTTTTTTTTTTTTTTTTTTTTTTTTTTTTGTGAAATTTTAAGAGAAAACTTTGTCAGTGAAAATACAACAGTTTAGTTGTCATGTAATATGTAATATGAAATCATTTTTAAATTAGTGTCGTGACACCGTTATTTTAAGAACAAAAAAACAAAAACCAAATGATAAAAGTGCGTCAAATTTGTTTAAACTCGCACGTCCGAAATGTGTGACAGGTTACGCCGATAATACGTACGGCGCAACTGTCAATCACCTGCCTGACTGTACCACCATGGACAAACTGGCTTGATTGTGTGATCTGCCCAATGAACGACGATACAACTTTGAATGTGCTTTAAATTTAACGAGCCGCATTCTTATTTTTATCATAAAAATTAGATTTGGCAAATGGTATCTTATCTCACAGATCGTGCACATAAAAATCAGTATTTTTAACTTTAGTTTATATTTCTTTTTGATTTAAAATATTATTATTTCCTATTTATTTACTTCATCTTACGTAGCGTAGATTCGAAATTTTATAATTTCATAAACTAATGGAAATTTCATCATCTAATTTTGTAAAACTAGGAAAACGGTAATCGTTAAAGTCCGTCGCGTTTATTTACTCTGGATCTTTTTTTTTTTATTACAACATTAAACAAAAAAAAATTGATTACGAAAAATAGCAAATTAACAGTGTTACAATTTACAAAAAAAAAGGAATATGACTGAAAGGATTTTTTAAAACATATAGAAAATCATTGTTTAAATTTGAATGTTAAAAAATTTCTTCAACGTAAGAATGCTATTGTGGAAAAACTTTGCATAATAATTTAAAATTAAATAATCTTAAAAAATTAGTTAAATCAAATTATTTATTTAGTTATGTTTATATGAAATCAATTTAATAAATTAATAAAGTGAACGATAATATGTAATTACTATTTGTTGCTAACTTAGCCAAGTCTTTAAAAAACTTTTTGTCACCTGATCACCACGTTGAGTTGCACCAACATTGATCAGGAGAAAGCGAAAGGGAAAGGCTAATGGAAGGAAGGAATATTACATGGGTTAACTATCAAATCATTTAGCGCATAATAGAATGTCCTTCGCTACGCTCGACAAAAGAAAATTGCATATTTTTTATACGAATTCCCTTTATTATTAAACAAGTCCTAGTTTGTTCGAAGCGTAGCTGAGGATATCTTCGGTTAGACACATTGTAATGCAAGGTATGTCTGTCCGCATGCGTGATTAACCAATAAGATGTATACTTGATCGTTATCACGTGATCAGATTTTTGGTGACGCGTAATTTTAAACGAGTGCTTTGGACATTACAACGGATCCCGTTACCTAGTTATAACAGATAAAGAAGGTTTAGTATTGAATATTTAATACAGTATATCCTAAGTCTTTTATTTTAAAGTAATCGATTAATGTTACAATGTTTAATTTGGTCATTTTCAAATTTTTATTTTCATCAAATAGTTTGCGTATCATTATTGTTTCTAAATTAATTATTTGATTAAAAGTTACCATAAATCATATATTTACGTAATTAATCCTATTTATATTTTATTGGTAAATAAATATTATATAAAAAAAAATTACATATTCTATGTAGAAACAATTTCTCGAATAACCCAAATAATTTTTACGATCCTTTAATTTAAATTCTCAAAGCTACTACTGAATAATTAAATCAAGAACTACGTTAAAATAATAAAGCAAAAGAAAACAGAAATATTATAAAATAATTCCTAATATTTAGTCTCTATATTTCGCTTGTATAATTTTCGTTGAATAATCAATCTTAACAGTTAAGAATTCTTATAATCTTTCTTCTGTGCATTATTGCTGTAATCAATTTATGTTAAAATATAAATCATTAGATTCATTGAATTTGATTAGATCATCTTAAACGATAAGAAAATAATTCATACCTCAATGTATTCGTCGTGCAATAAATCATTCATCGCTTCATTGTAAATTTGACATTCTCTTTCCACATTTTTCCATCTTTGTTCAAGAACGCGAACAATTCGACGTCGTTGAATATGTTGACCTTTTCCGAATCGTTCAAGGTTTTCAATAAGATATTCGATAATTTCGATTTGTGCATTCCAAAAAGTCCTGATCTTACCAACTCCTATAATAATTGTTTTCAAATTATCATCAAAGAGATTTATCATATTCAATTCATTTTGATTATTTTTCAATTGATTTCTAATTTCCTCCCTTTCTTCTTCTAACCAATTTTCCGCTATATTGATCACAGCTTCTTCATAAGATTTTTCATTAGTAACCAAATCTATCAAACTAGCTACTTTTAATAAAATACCAATACATAAACTATAAAACACACCGCCTTCATATGATATTAATACTTTTTCTTCTGAATTAATCTTAGTTTTAAAATCTAGAATATGTCCTTGTAAAGAACTTTTGATTTTTTTTAATTCGTTCATGATTCCTTCATTTCTTTTATCAAAAAATATTTATCAATCAAATTTTTTAATTCTTTCATAAATCCACCATCTTCTTCATCAACAAATAATCTTCTTTCTAGTCCTTTAGCTAATCCATGATTCTTTTTAGATTCTTTTAAAAGATCTTTCAATAATACTAAAATATCTTCATCAGAACAATTATTATCATTAAAACATTCTGTAAAAAATAAAATATCAAGGGAATAATTTTTTAAACGTTTATTAAAATCTAATGAATCCTTAATAAATTCACGAAAAATTTCATAAAGTTTTTTAACCCCTTCAACTTGTTTAGTCAAAATGTTAGAATTTTTAATTTTGGTGCAATTCTTAAACTTTTTCATGATGCTTTTCATTTTCTTATCATCTAAAATACACATAACTTTTGTATTTTCTAGTATATTATTTTTACTAGATTCAGGTTGAATTTCGTTATTGATATTAGTCATTTTACTTTTCTTTTTTTTTTTTCGTGAAATTTTAAGTGAAAACTTTTTGTCAGTAAAAGTATAACTATAAATAATTTTAACAATTAGCTCGTCATGTAATGTCATGTAATATGAAATCATTTTCAACATTTTCAAATCAGTGTAACATAATCGTGACCGTTTTTTTTTTTAAGAGCGAAAAACAAAATGATCAACAATCACATGATCAAATATAATCATACGCCGATGGATTTTTTTGTCAATTACCCCACCGTTATAAAGTAAAAGAGTATAAAATCCATCGGTATATACGTTAGTTACGTTACGCACAATGAGATAAGCCTGTTATTCCATGGATATCTAATAAAAACTTCGTGTACACTGATGCTCCCTTCGGAATATTTGGTTATTCATTGATACCCATGGAATAAAAAGTATGAATTTAACGTCACAAATCACATTTCACATCAGTATTTTTAATTTTCCGATTTATTGATAATTTATTCCTAGAAATTAAATGAGACTCTGATTAATGAAGAAAGTTCGGCATAATTTTGGCAGTTTTGCAATTATAATTCCATAAAATAATGGAAATCTTGTTAATAGAATTATTCAATTATTTAAAGCGGTCACGATCAGATAAGGTATCCCCTCCCTATAAATGCTAAATATATATTTCTTGCAAAATAGAATCCAAATTCTGGAAGGTTTTAGATTTTATGAAACTTCTAAATAAACGATAACGTGTATAAAAATTATTTAATATTTTTTTTAATTTTTTAATATACGTACATATTTTTAAATCAGAAATTACATTATTTCAAATTCTTAAATCCGTATTCAATTGTCAAAAATATAAAATACTTACAAATCGAATTATTCTTAACGATAATTTTAAAATTTATTATAAAAAAAACTTTGAGATTAAACTGATTGCTAACGCCAATAAAATATGTAACCTAAATAATACTGAAAAACTAAAAGTAATTCTAAATATTCAATAATTAAATAATTCCCTCTGAATGACCTTCATATTTAATCACCAAGAATCTTATGATTTTTCTTCCATGAATTATCACTATATAATTTATCGTATAAAATATACATAAATCATCAGTCGTATTGTTTTGAATAAATTATAATGAAGAAAGTGGTTCTTACCTTAACGTATCTATTTTCGTGCAATAATTTTTTCATCGCAAAATAATAAAGTTGGCATTCTTTTTCTACATTTTTCCATTTATGTTCAATATTGTAGACAATTTGACGTTGAGTAATTCGCTCTCTACTGGAGCTTTTCAATCTTTTGAGATTATCAATAAGATGTTCGATACTTCCGATTTGCGAGTCCCAAAAAGTTTCAATTCTGCCAATTCCCATAATAATTGATCTTAAATTTTTACTAAAGAGCTTTACCATTTCCACTTCTTTTCGCTTATTATTCAATTGAATTCCAAATTCTTCAATTTTGTCATTTTTGTCTAACCATTCTTCCGATTTCGCCACATATTCTTTGCAAGGTTTTTTTTCAGTAAATACATCTAAAAACTTAGCTAAATTTAATAGCACAATAACACAGTACCTGTAAAATGTACCACCTTCATATTTTACTATTTCTCTACCATCTGATTCAATCTCGTTTTCAAAATCGACGGTAAAATTATATGTAGAATCTTTAATTATAGATAATTCGCTCATAATTCCAACATTTTCATCATCATTAACTAACCTATTTTTTAATTTCTTGGCTAATTCATAATTCTTTTTAGAATCTTTTAAATGACTTTTCAATAATTTCGAAATTTCTTCATTAGAATAATTAATATCTTTAAAACATTCTGTAAAAAAAAAAATTTTACGTGAATAATCTTCTAACTGTTTGTTCAAATCCAATGATTCTTTAACAAATTCACGAAAAACTCCTTGAAGTTTTTTAACTTCTTTAATATTTTCAGTTATAATATCGGAACGTTTAATTTCAATTTTAACACAATTTTTAAAATTTTCCATGATCATTTTTATTTCTTTACCGAAATCCATCATACTAATAACTTGTGTATCATCTTTACTACGATTAGGTTGAATTCTGTCGTCGTTATTAGACATGTTGCTTTCTTTCCACTTCGTAAAATTTTAAGAGAGAATTTGTTGGGAATGTAATACAAGTACTGCATTAATATTGTAATATGAAATCATTTTTCCAAGTTTGTGTAGCCATAATTGTGACACTAATTTCTAAGAATATAAAACAAATGATTAACAAATAATAAAGATGTACAATTCATTATCCTCTTAATGATCAGTCATCCGCCTCTTCTAAAAATAGATTTATTTGTCACCACCATCATTAGTCAAAATTCTATTTGACACGCCCTTAGTCGTCACTTAGTTGTTCACATGATCACTGATTGGAAATAATTACTATCCCAAATTCATCGGTCATCTATTCCAGTCATTTTTTTTCTATCACGCAACAAATCGCAATATTTTCAATATTACTTGTTGCTTTGTCATCGTGTTGGGACTTGGGACATGTTTAATTAATAAAATCTATTTTTAGAAGCGGACGGGTTATATAATTAATGAATGTCATCCTGACCTGAAATCTATATCCCTATGAAAAAAAATTTCTTTAAAATATACTTAAAATGTACTTATATATTTTAAAATATATCTAAAATGTACTTAAAATTTTTAAATGTACTTATAATATACTTAAAATTGCAATTTTAAGTATATTTAAAGTATAAAATTTTATACTTAAATTACATTTAAAATATACTTAATTGCAATTTAAATATAATTTAAGTATAATTTAAGTGCAAAATTTTATACTTTAAATATACTTAAAATTGCAATTTTAAGTATATTTTAAGTATATTTTAAAATGTTAAGTATATTTTAGGTACATTTTAAAAATATATAAATATATTTTAAGTATATTTTAAAAAAATACATAAGTATATTTTAAGTACATTTTAAAGAATTTTTTTTTTATAGGGATATATCAAAGAACAACAAAACTATTATTAATTTTCATCATTAATTTAATTTTATTACATTAATAAATAAGCAATTCATTATCGGTTAATCATTATCAGACATTTTCTTAAAACTTAGAAAATTATGATCATCGATAACTCTTGAAACTATTGAAACTAGGGTTGGATTAGTCCAGTCCGGTCCGGTCCGGTCCCAAAAAGACCGGTCTTTCAGCCAGGACCGGACGGACCGGTCTTAAATTTTTTAAATTATCTAATTTATAATAGCGGTATTGTTGGGTTATAATGAAATGCAGGTCGCACTATAAATTATGACATTAATTTATTATTTATTACCAGTTACCTTTGTTGTCATTGTAAACTAAGTATGACCCAAATATATAAAATCTCAAAGTTTAAAAGTAAAAATACTGGATATAATTTTAAAGCCTTATGCGACTATCAAAAATGGGTATATAGCAAACATGTATTGTATGGTTAGCTTTGTATGTATTGTATTATTAAAACTTTTTAATGTATTTAATGTATGGTCCTTTTCCAATTATGTATGTATTGTATGATAAATGTGGTTATTGTTTGATTTAAGGATAACTTCTTGCCACACTTATTGTTACCAAATTTGACTATTTCACATTTTTTATTATGGCTAAAACAATTCAACTCGTATTATTATAATCTTTCTTTTCTTTTTATTTAAAAATAAGTATTTCTACCATGTTTATTACTATTTTTTTCATTTAAAAATTAAAAATAAATATTTCTATCACGTTTTTATTACTACAATATTCTCTTTTCTTTTCATTTAAAATATTTCTATTAATATTTTTATTATGTTTATTACTGTGTCTAAGTTATTCTTTTAAATATTGAGACTATATCTGATGACGAAACTATATCTGAAAATGAAATTTAATTCCTTATGAGTCATCATCTATAAATATTGTAAATGTTTGCATTATCTCTAGCATTACATTAAGAAATATTTATTTTATTTATAATAAAAATAAATTTTTGTTTTTGTAAATCCTAATCTTATATATGGCGAAAATAAATATGCAATACATAACATACGTTCATTTTTAATATCCATACATGTATGGGCACAATCAAAGCATACATAAGCATACAATACATACAATGTTAAGCATACACTACATGTTTTATAATCACCTATCAAAAATATGAAAAATAAATTATCAAATTGATGCTGATCATTTAACACAAAATAATTGAACATTTTAAAGCATCAAAAATGATATTGATATTACAAAATACCAACATATGAAAATTTTGATATTTCGAAATAAGCATTATTAATAATATATAATTTAACATTTTTATATTAAATGATAAATTTTATATAATCGGTCCCAGTCTGGACTGGTTCTCAAATCTTGGACCGAAGACCATAAAGACCAGTCCCAAGACTGATACGAACCGGTCTTTGCTGGGACTGACCCACCCTAATTGAAACGCATCTGGCGGCACTCAGGGGTTTCATTTCTTATATTTATAATACATATATTAATGTATTTATTGTGTATGTATACTGTAATATCTCAAAAACTACGGATTCTTTGTAGATCCATAAAATTTATTTCATATGAATTTATACTGTACATTTTTGATTACATCTTCAATAAAGAAAATTAAATTATTTGCATAGAAAATATGGTGCATATTAATTCTTTAGCATATGATAATTTTTAAAATGTAAGTAAAGAAAAAAAACCACTTTAGAAAATTTATCACGCAATTCACGCCATTTGAAAATAAAAAAAAATACTATTTAAAGCAGAGCTGATTACTATAAGGATTATTTAATATTTGTAATAAATTTTTTAAAAAAAAATTATAATTACAACAGTATTATAACTTCATTAAAAATTTCTCGATTATTTGTAAGAATAATTATGACTGCAAGACATTAAAATAATTCAAAGTTGGCCAAATTATATAATGCATGTTAGGATAACACTTTCTTTTCTTCATTTGTCAATTAAAGTTGTGTAATGGGTGTGACAGAAGTTAATAACTCAGAGTGTTCTGAAAGGGACGGGTTATTGACCCGACTCGTATTCCGGTTTGAAAAAAAATAGTTTCAGTTGACAGTAGTTGGGGTCACATTATTTGATGACCTGTAGCCTGCATGAACTTGACCTGAGTCGGTTATACCTTTACTTTGTCCCAGCGACCTAAATCTTTTTATTATATTTTTAACTAAAAATTTCAATTTTTTTATATTAAATACAACTTGACGGGTCGAACCTGGGTTATCTGAGTTAGACTATAATCAGGTCAAGTCGAATCTAAGTCATTACTTTTACACTCAGGTCAAGTTCGAATACACCTCAAAATCTGACCTGACTCGACCCCTTCAGAACACTAAATTAATAAGTGTTACTAATTTCTATTTATTTTATTGTTCTACTAAAATAATAACAGTGTTGAAACTGAAGAAAGTAACGAATCCCAACATCAAAGACAATGATAAAAATTTTTTCAATAAATTACCTAGCCACTAACCCATAATCTCAATAGCATATTTAAATTATTTAAAAATCAATATGTATAATTTTTTTATCAATAATTTATATGGTGAATTGATATCAAAGATATCAGATATACAGTCTACTCGAAGTGAGTGGTTTAGCAAACCAGGCCTTCATTATAAGAAAATTTCGTTAACATATATGAAAATCTGGTATAACCCGGGAAAAGTTTGGTAAATTATATAATACTTGTCACAGTGTCACACACAATATCTTCGTTATATTAAATAAAAATTCGTTATGAACAAAAATTCCATACAGCATTTTATTAGTATCTTCAGATTTTTATTTATATGATAAAATTGGTACAACACTGAAGGTTCGCTATATTAAGAAATTCGTTAAATCAAAATTCGTTTTAACAGTTTTTACTTGTTTTTGATTAAATATAACGTATAAAACATTGTTATTTAAATGACTTATATAAAAGAACTCTTTCATCACATCAAAAAAGTTTAATGATCTTTTTATTGAAACCTCTTGATAAACAAAACAATATATATATATATATATAGTTATAATTTAATTAAAAAAAACAAAATTCCTAGGACTTTTGCTAAAAAATGAGTGATATAATGTTCAATAAATCCTAGAAAATATATAATATATTCATATACTTAATAAATACTAAGATTTTCATTTCAATTAATAAATAGCTATTAATGAAATCCATCAATATGGTTGAATCTAATCTGCTGCTAAATTTCTTAATTCTTTTTTTTCTTGTTCTAATTCTAATTTCAATTCATTCAAATTCTTTCTTAATGAATTTATATCTTCAGCCATCATATTAGAATTTAATTGAATTCTAGTTCCTTCCTGAGAATTAGTAGCAAATTTAAAAATTTTGTATTTATCAAGATTAAAAGAATACAACTTAAGAATATTTTCAATCATAAGACTAACTTCCAACTCTTTATTTTCTTGAACAATATTCTCTAACGAATAATAATTTTTGTTCAACTCTAATAATCCATCATTATATTTTACAAGAATATATTGAAATTCTTTAGTGTATTTGTCAGCCAAGTTAGAGGTTTTCAAATCTCTGGTAGAGCCAATAGTATTTCCTTCTTTATTAATAAAGCTTTCTAGACAATTTTGCAATTTTTTAATTGCTTCTTCTCGTAAAGTTAGAAAGCCACCCTTGGCTTTCAGAAATTTATTAACTTGATTAAGAACCTTTTTTTTCCTATTAGCATCATAAGAAGCTGAAGTTCTTGATAATTCTTGTTGGAGCTCATCTAACTCTTTTTGTTTAGCTTCTTTTTCTTTAGGAATTTCCTTAGTATCTCCTCCACTTAATTTATTTACTAATTCTCCTTTAACTTCACTCAATTCTTTTTCCTTGTCTATTAGCTTTTTAATACGCTCTTGATCAAGATTAATTAATCTTTGTTCTAATTCATTTATTTTATCTTCTTTAATCTGTAAAGCTTGAGTTAATTGCATTTTGATTTGTTCTTCATTTATCAATTTATGTTCCAATTGAGAAATTTCATTTTCCAACTTGGCTTTCAATTTAGTAACTTGTGAGAGATCTCTCACCACATTTTGCAATCTATTGCTTTCTTGTTCTATTTGTTCATAATTATCTTGGAACTGATTTAGTCTATTTGCTAATTGCTCTTTTTGTTCAATTAAGTTTTCTTTGTGAGATTTTAGTTCTTGAATTTCAACTTCTGTTTGAGTTAATCTTCCTTGCAAATCAACTTTTTCTTGCTCTAACTGGATGATTTGAATTTGAACTTGCTTCTTAGTCAGTTTATTTTGTTTCAGTTGTTCGGCTAAATTGCCAGCTAAACTTTGCTTTTCATTTTGCAGGTTAATAATTTGGGTTTGCAAAATATCTTCTTTTTCTGCAAATTCTTTAATTTGTACAGCTAAGTTAAACCTCAGATTTTGATTATTTTGCTCAAATTTAAAATTTCTTTGTTGTGAATCAACTAACTCATTTTCTAACTTAAGATTTTCTTCTTCTATTTTCTTATAGTTACTCTGAGATTTGTCTTGCTGCAATTTTAACTCTCTAATATTAGCTTCTATTTGAGATAATTGATTTTGCAGATTAATTTTTTCATGATTTAACTTGCTGATTTGTTTAGTCTGTTCAGTTAAATTATCAGTTAAGGCTTGATTTTCTTGCTTAAATTGGGAATTCCTTTGTTGTAATTTAGCTAATTCCATTTGAATAGAACTTTGATAATTAGTTTCAGCAATCACTTCTAATTTAGGAAGTTCCTGCTCAGCATCATCATCTTTTTGTTTCAACTCAAGAAATTTCAATCCTTTAAATCCTTCTAGACTTTCATTTAATTCTTCACTAGTAAAATCAAGTAAATGACTCGTATAACATACTTGTGGATGAGATTCTACAATTTGATTATTATGCTTAATTGGTGCATTTGTAAATTCCATAATATTGCTTTTTAACTCTTCATTAATAACTACAGAACGGGTAATCCATTTTTTAATAATATTTAAAATATATGATGCAGATGGTCTTTTTGATGGATCCTCATCCCAACATTTTTTCATCAAATCTACATAACATTGTGGAGTATTTTCAATAATTTCAGGTCGTTCACCTTTACAAATACTTAAAGCAAGTTGAAAATCGTGTGCTTTATCATTAAATGGTAAAATTCCAGATGTAAATTCCCACATAATTATAGAAAAACTAAATATATCACTAGCTTGAGAATAAGGTTTGCCTCTTAAAACTTCAGGTGCCATAAATGGTATAATACCATAAATATAATCTTTTTTTAAAAAAGATTTTGCAAGTTGATATGATCCTAAATAATCACTAATATAAATTTCATATTTAGATCCATTATATTCACATAAAATATTACCATCATGAAAGTTATAATGAATAAGACCATTTTTATGAATAGTATTAAGACCCATAACAATTTTATGCAACGTATATAATTTTTGTTGCCAATTATTCGCTATTTCTATCAGGCACCCTCTTAAGTTACCTCTATTTGCATATTGCATTATTAACATATAATTTGAAGTATCTGGATCTTTTGTAAATCCATAGACTCGAATAATTCCATTTGAATTAATAATTTTCCACTATATAAAATAACATTAAGCAATTTAGTATAAATAAATTAAAATTAAAATTAAAACAATAATAATAATAATTAATCATACTTCATTTAAAAATTCATTTAAACTTTCATCTGAATTATTAAGATAATCAAAATATTTAAGAATTACTTTATATTTTTTATATGTAGCTTTATATATAGTACCAAACCCTCCTTTGTCAAGATATTCAACCTCCTCAAATTTATTATAAGGAACCCATTTTAATTTATTTTCAGAAATAAATTGATCCATAATTTTACTTTCACTAGTCCCGAATCTTTAAAATATAAATATAAAATTATATTAAATTTAAAACAGATTTAAAATTCCAAATTTAATATTGATGAAGGATATTAATAACACTTACTCTAGATAAATTACCGATTTAAAACAATAAATAAATAAATTAATACTTTATTTTTATATAGATAATATATAATAACTTATACTTACCATCTAGAATATTTGAATAATTTTTCGAATAGAAAAATATTACATGTAATATTATATAAACAAAATAGAACCAAATAGTAACTTATAACTTACCATCGAAAATACCTGAATAATTTTTTAAAGGAAGAATTTATTTAGTTTAAATTATATGGATATATTTTATATATAAATAGAATTAAATAAATAACTTACTTTCTATATTATTAAATAAATGATTTTAAATAAAGAATTTAGTTTAAATTATATGTATATAAATATAATAGAATTAAATAAATAACTTACTTGCTATATTATTAAATAAAAGATTTTAAATAAAAAATTTAATTTAAATTATATGTATATAAATATAATAGAATTAAATAAATAACTTACTTGCTATATTATTAAATAAAAGATTTTAAATAAAGAATTTAGTTTAAATTATATGTATATAAAATTAAATAAATAACTTACTTTCTATATTATTAAAATAAATAGATATTAAATAAAGAATTTAGTTTAAATTATTTGTAAATATTTTATATATATAGTAGAATTAAATATCTTACTTCCTATATTATTAAATAAATAATTTTTCAAATGAAGAATTTAGTTAGTTTAAATTATGTGAATATAATAGAATTAAATAAATAATAACTTACTGCCTATATTGTTAATTAAATAATTTTTTAAATAAAAGATTTAGTTAGTTTAAATTATGTGTAAATATTTTATAATAATAGAATTAAATAAATAACTTACTAACTATATTGTAAAGTAAAAAATTTTAAAATAAAGAATTTAGTTAATTTAAATTACAATGTAAAGCCATTCTAACTTGATTGTTTAAAGATCTAATTTTTGATAAATATTTGTTTGAATGCCCCCTCTAAATTTAAATTGTGATTGCTAAAATTTCCTGAAATTTTCCAAATTTTATTATGTTTATTTCATTAAGTTTAATAATGAAACCTCCCTGGACATTAAACAAACAATCAAGTTGGAACAGTAATAAAGTTAAATAAATAACTTACTAACTATATTATTAAATAAATAATTTTTTAATAAAGAATTTAGTTAGTTTAAGTTATATGTAAATATTATTTAAATATAATAGAATTAATAAATGACTTAATGACTTACGATCTAAAATATTTGAATAATTTTTAAATAAAGAATTTAATTAGTTTAAAATATTACATTAATTTAATAGAATTAAATAATTAACCTACTTTCTATATTATTAAATAAATAATTTTTAAATATAGAATTTAGTTAGTTTATATGTAATTAATGCAAATGTTATTATAAATAACATAACAGATAATAGAATTAAATAAATAATTTATAACTTACGGACTAATATATTTGAATAGTTTTTTAAATAAAGAATTTAGTTGGCTTAAATTATTATATAAATATAATAGAACTACTAAATAAGTAACTTATAACTTACAAACTAAGAGATTTTCAAATAAAAAGAATTTTGTTAGTTAAATTATATACAAACATCCAGAAATTATCTAAGATGTAAGAATTCGTAGTCCTGTGATAGGGGTGTAATCCTATGTAAGTTTACATAAGTTCACGTACATTTTCATAAGAAATTTACAAAAACTTACACAAGATTACATATATTTACACAAATTTAAGTAAATTCACACCCCCATCACATGGTTACGTCTAAAAAAATATAAATATAAATAACTTACAATCTATAATTTATTAGAAAAAGAATTTAGTTAGTTTAAATTATATGTAAATATTATATAAATATAATAAATAATAACTCACTCGCTATATTGTTAATTTAATAAAAATATTAATTTTAAATCATATGTAAATAATTTTATAAATATGATACATAGAATTAAGTAATAACTTACCAACTACATTAATAAATAAAGAATTTGTTAAATAAAGAATTTAGTTAATTAAATTACACAAATGTAGTAGAATTAAATAAATAACTTATAACTTACGGACTAATAAATTTGAATAATTATTAAATAGTTTAAATTATGTATGAAAATTATATAAATAAATATAATAGAATTAATTAAATAATAACTTATAACTTACCTTCTAAAATATTTGAATAATTGTTTAAATAAAGAATTCAGTTAGTTTAAATTATATATAAAAATATGTAAATATAATAGAGTTAAATAAATAACTTATAACTTACCATCTAAAATATTTGAAATTCAGTTAGTTTAAATATTAAATAAATATAATAGAAATAAATAAATAACTTACCTTCTAAAATATTTTGAAATAAAAAAAATTTAAATTATATGTAAATAATTTTTATAAATATAATACATAGAATTAAATAATAACTTACGATCTAAATAATTTTTAAAAAAGGATTCAGTTAGTTTAAATTAAATATAAAATTATATAAATATAATAGAATTAAATAAATAACTTATAACTTACGATCTAAAATATCTGAATAATATTTTAAATTCAGTTAGTTTAAATTATATGTAAATATTAAATAAGTTTAATAGAATTAAATAAATAAAATTAAATAATAACTTACGAGCTACATTATTAAATAAATAATTTTTTAAATAAATAATTCATTTTAGTTGGTTAAATTATATGTAAATATTGCATAAATATAATAGAATTAAATAAAAACTTACATTCTATATTATAAAATAAATGATTTTTAAAAAAAAAGTTAGTTTAAAATATACGTAAATAATAGAATTAAAATAAATAACTTACCCCCTGTTATTAAATAAATAATTTTTTAAAAATAAAGAATTCAGTTAGTTTAAACAATACATAATATTATATAAATATATAATTAAATAATTGACTTACGAACTATATTAAATAAAGAATTTTTTAAATAAAGAATTTAGTTAAGTTTGTATATAAAAGTCAAGAAACACAAATAATATATAACTTACACCCTGTATTGTGATTGATTAATAATAATTTAAAAAGAGTAATCATAACCAATTAGACAATTAGATAATTTGATATAGAAATTAAATATATACAGTGACTTACAATCTTGATTATTTAAATAAATAAGATTATTAGTTTGAATTATATGTAAATATTTGTAAGCTAATATTATAAAATTAAATACTTACTTGCTATAACATCATTGATTATTAAACAATTATATTTAATGAACAATTTAGTTATTTGAAATACCATGTAGAATACAATAAAAAACAAATAACTATTAACTTACCAACTATGATAACATTAATAATAAAATAAATTATTTGGTCAGATTAAATATAATAGGAGTAAGTAATTCTTCTATTGTCAAACTACAAGGTAACCTGTAACTTACGAGCTAAAATAGTTAAATAATTTTTAATAATGCAGTTAGTTTAAAATATTAAAATTATATGTTTGTAATTTACAAGTTTTAATATTATCATTTGAATTTTAAATTGTGCCTACCTTTATTTTCTTCAATTCCTGAATCTAGTTTTATTATATTGTAAATTTTGTTATAAAAAAAGATTTTAAATTTCAATTTGTGTTTAATAACTATGTACATGCTATGCGCTTTTACCTTTATTGTTGCTTTGAGCCATTTTATATCGGAATGCTTCCTAAAAAATAAGGCAAATATAATTAAACGCCTTTATTAGAGTATATATAGTTGCTTGTGTATTATTTTATGCAAAATGCAGATGCTCAGGTAACGTCATTATTTGTATCACTTGTCGATCATTTGACAAAAAATTTTACCGGTCGAAAAAAAAACAAAAAGTAGTTATTTTTTTTCACTTCTTTTATGGTAGGTTATGTATATTTTGTTGAAGTTTTGCTTTAAAAAATAGAGAAATTTTTACCAAAGACGTTTTGCAAAAAGAGTTTAATATTTCGGAAAAACGAAAAAAAGTTTCACATTTCTTTCGATACAAAATTCAATAAACGTTAGTACAGTAGTGCACTATGCAAATTTTGATATGAAGTGAAGTAGACGGGCATATAAAAAATTTTTTGACGAAAACATTTTAACCTTTGAAAATAGCTGCGGGTGGCGCAGTAAGTAAGAGATGATCACGTGAAGGCATCAAAGGAAGGTATAGGACAAAGGAAGGAACGAATTAAATTTCAAGGGATGAGTCGATGAGATAATTGATCAACCACTAATCCTACCTTACAGAATCAAGAAATATAATCTGTAAGAAAAAAAATTAATGATGGTTCCCATCATCCTACCAAGAATTGCATCGCACCAATTCCATTTTTTTATAATCAAAAAAGCATTATATATAATAACATTTAATTGTCCGGAGCGTAGCGGAGGACTTTACGTTCAAGTAAAAAGAAACGCCATGTCCGTCTGTCTGCCACGTGAGACGATTCTGATTGGTGATTTATATATCTTTTAGATCGATCGTCGATTAAACAGTTAAAATTTTTGAAATGTCTTGATCAATCAGACAATCACTTAGTAAAATTTTCGAATTCTGCGCCGGGAGTTCGAGCTTACGAAACGAAACTGATTTGTGTGATGATGCAATAATTGACATTGTTACTCAAAAAGTATATATATAAGTAACTCATTCGACTGCTCATTCAATTTATTTAATTTTTAACGCGAAAAAATCTATCAATATGCCAGACGAACTGTTAGATTTGCAACACAAAAGGCTTTAGAAATACTACAGGAGTCAGGACAAAAAAAGTATATGGAAGAGCGCGCAAAAAAATCTTTTAATATAACTGCATTGAAAGAGTGGGAAGAAGCCGGTGAACCGTTTGAGGAAGACGACGTAATTCTAGGTATTTTAATCACTTAGAATATGACAGATCTCAATATATTAAAACATTATCTCATTATCTATTGAAATTCTAGCATACTTAGAATATAAGAGAAACGAAGCCCGTAAAAATGGCGCTAACCCTGGAACAGTGAGAATTTATTAGAACGGAGTCAGCAGGTAAGTCTATTTAATGTTTATTTTGATTAATACCAAACTCATGTATTCTTAACTTTAAGGAGCCGGAAGACATAACTCTATCAATGGCGGAGAACAAACACCTGGAAGTATGCATAGGGTTTACTGATGAGATCAGACTTTAATGCAGTTAATTACTCAGTCTATGCAGAGATTACTTAAAAATGCGGCTATAGAACTTGTATATGCGAGAGTATCATACAAGACCATATTATATTGGAGTATAGATAAACCATTCAATCGGTATTAGACGGTTGGTTAAATATATGATGGATCGTGCGTGACTTAATATTATAATAATTGATAATATAATTTTTTTTTTGAACATTTAACATTTATTAGTAATATAATATGAACATTTTACATTTTTATTAGTAATATAATTTTTTGAAAATTTTTATATCAATGTATTTTTTTTTTACATAATAATTGATAAATTTCAACAATCTTTATACCGTAAATATTATATGAAAAATCACATGATTTTCGATATACCAAACTTTTATTACCTATAGAGTTCGGTTTATAAAAAATTTGCAAGTAAAAAAAATTATTTCCTAATTGAACAATAATATCCAGAATCATATAAACATGCTAAATTGCTAACAGAGAAACATAATTTACGTAAAGCAAAATTTTCTGTACCTCCTATTTAAAACATTGCAGTACAAAAATATAACTGTATAATGGTAAAAAATTTACAGAGGCCCAGATGTAATAATCTGATTTTTCCGATTTATTTTTTAATTGAATTGATATTCTCGAAATTGTTTATCACTTACGAATTAATGGAACAAATAATATTAAAGTTTATCACATAAATTATGCAAAAAAGTACAAAAAGTAAAATTTATTAAAAATGATGTGAACGGCTTTTGTTTGCATAACTATCCTAAAAATGAGGAATTATGCAAGAGTATATTCTTCAAATTTAAATAAATAGATTTACGGCTTATGTACAATCTATCTATTGATACTTACAGAGTCAAAACTTGTTGCCACCTGGATCACTAAGCCTTGGGAAAGAAGAAAAAAAAGAACGAGAGAGGGATGAGTGGGAAAGGAGGAAAAGAAAAGGAGGGATAATGACTATATATGGAGTTTCTAGAGGAAACCAAAAAAGGTACTGGAACGTATTAATACTCTACAAAAAAGATGTCCGGAAATTCAAGTATGTCTAAAATAAACTATTGTCACGAGTTTTCATATAACATTATAACGGCACGTGTTCATGTTACACAATTCAAATTATTTATATGGAGACGTCTCAAGTATTTTTTTTAGTTACAGTATATAGTAACTTCGTAATTTCTTTTCATTCGTTCATTCTTATCATAGATCACACTAAAAATACTCTAAAAATTTCCAAAATTTGATGAGTGTTTAGAAATTTAGATTGAAATATGGAAATATGTATTAAATGAGTTCTTGTACCCTCATTCCAGATCTTAAAACTTTTGTCTGAACAATGAAAAGTATTCTACATTTGGTTAGATTTTTTTCGTATATCATCTGAAGAGTTTTCATGAAAGTTCATCCATATCAAAAACATTTAAATCAATAACTTTATGAAGATTTATTAAACTTTTATTTGGATCCTGATAGCGTATAATCTCAAAATGTTTGGCTTCCTAGAAAAATTTAATGAAAACATTTTTCACGAATCATTAATTCTGGTATTGTTTTAACTAATTCAAGATGGATAAATAAAATAGCTATTAATGATAACAACTTTAATGTATCATATTTACCATATAAATTTGAAATATTGTTAAGAAGAAGCCAAGATGAATTTATCCCAAAAATTTCATGAATTATGTGATAATAAACCTAATATTGTTACATTTATTAAAATAAAAGAAACAGAAGAGATTATTGGTTGATAATATAGGTTCTTCTAATCATGGTAAAACCAAAGATAGTTTTATATTTTCTTTTAAAAACAAGAATAATTTAATGATACAATTTCGAGTTAATGTGAAAATATGGATTGTTTGTGCTTTATGGTTCAGTTCTACAGCTGATCCATATTTTAGTTACGATATTCAGTGATATCAGTATATTAATATCATAAGTGTCAATATGAAAAAGAGATAGAGATAGTGAAGATAGATTGATTATTTAATCAATTAAAGTAAAACGAAATTTTTTTTTGGTTATAAAAATAGTTATATTAACTACAAAATTTATTTATTAATGAATTGTTAATAAAAACAACGACATCTCTTATGACGTCAGTGCAAGCTTCAATTCCCGTACCTATGCTTATGCTACGACTGCTGTTAACAATCTTCAGTCTTCACCGCCAATAATGATAGCATTCTCTCAGACAAAAGCTGCACTACCTCCTTCAAGACAAACTTTAGCAGCAGTAACTAAAAAAAAACAATTCAATTTTATTATAAGAGATGGAAATTTATTATTTCTATTTTATAAATAATAAATGTAATTTCAATTGATTATTTTATCACAATTTTTTTTTTACATATAAGCAAATATTATATAATAATAAACAATTGGAATAATATATAACAAATTTTAACATACCAATCCTTCTGTAAAGTAAAAGCTGAATGAATGGAATCTAAAAATTATAAAATATAGTAAAATTGGTTAGAAGACTCGAGTACTCTAAGTAAGCTTTACAGAAAAGACAAATTCAAGCCCCCATGCCTACTATCAACTGACATTAACGTATATCGTGAGTGACCAAACTCGTGCAGAGGTACTGTCACATTGATAATAAGACATGAGACCCACCACCAAAGGGAAGGGCCCCACATACAGAAGTCTGCGACATAGCTTGAGATATACTGATACAGTATTATGTTTCTCATTTAAGGTAACCAGACTTCTAGAAGAGGAGGATAACCTAAGCACTCTAGGTGCACAAATCCCTTATACATCCCAGCTTAGCCATTTCCACTTACCATAAAATCTAAAACTTTTGCAGTAAGGATAAGAATGAATGTGTGATAACAAAAACGAATTTTAAGAAGATTTCAAAAATTTCTTGTTAGATATTACCTAAGGTACTAATCTAAAAACAAAATATATGGTAAAAATATATTAGAAGACTCGAGTACTCTAAGTAAGCTTTGTAGAAAAGACATATTCAAGCCCCCATGCCTACTATCAACTGACATTAACGTATATCGTGAGTAGGGTTGGTAAAATAACCGTTAGTTATGAATTTGGTTAATTAACCGGTTAATTAACGGTTAGTTAACGGTTAATTAACCCATAAATAACCTGTATATATAATTTTAAGGAAGTTAAAATAAATTTATAATTTATTAAATATTATAAAATTTTAATATATTTTATTTATTCTTCATCTTCTAAATTAATAACATTTGCTTCAAATCCAAATATACTATCATTATCAGAACTATTATTATTATCATCTTCTTTATTTTCATTATCAGAACTATTATTACTATCTTCTTCATTTTCATTAAAATTACTACCCATTTAGCTGTATGAGATTCTTCACCAGAATAAATAGCATCAAAGAATAATGGTTTTGGAGTACAAATAACAAAATTTTGAACTGATTCTCGATTAATATTAGACCAACCATCTGAAACCATTGTAAGAGATTTAGCTTGTAAAATTTGTTCATTACATTCAGCTT